CTCCTTTGCCCCGTCAACCTATATCTAATCTATTTAAAGAGTGACAACCATACTACACATTGAATTAGGATTCCTTTAAATATCAAATTGATTTATTGTAAACTTGTTTACTCTGTAATAAATGGCATAAAATTGAATTTTTGTTTAACTGAATTTTTGTTTAACTGATCGCTTCACCCAAGAGTATCTTGTCTTTGACAAAGTAGTCCTTCAGAGCAATCAGTTCTGGGTCTCTACTTCTCACCACATAAGTGGTGAGTGCATTCTCCTCTCTCTTTACGACTTCCTCTATACTATGTAGCCCACGGCCACCCAGTTGACGGCTTACGTATAACCGATCAACATCTCCTTGGGGTTGGTGAGCTCCATTTATCCTCATCAGTTTCCGGGTCTTGACATCTAATGCTTTGGTCTCTCCAGCATTCCATGAGAGAATTCCAGCTCCATATCTTATCACAGGTACAGCCCAGGTGTTAATTGCTTGTATACTATTCCTGCCATGAAGCTGGGATTTTAAAACCTTTTTAACTCTTCTGATATACTCTTTTGTAACCAGTGCTTTCATCTCTTTGTGCAGTATATCATTGGCTTCTAGTATTCCCAGATACTTATAGCCCTCGTCCTCCAACTCATGGATCTGTTCACCTGTGGGTAGGGAGATGCCTTCGAAAACGGCTCTTGCTCCCTTCTTCACCTTCACCACGGCACATTTCTCTAGCCCGGATTCCATTTTTATGTCACTGCTGAACTCTGCTGTGGTATTAACCAGTGTTTGCATTTCGTCTTCACTCTCGGCATACAACTTGAGGTCGTCCATGTATAGCCTATGTGACACTTTCGGTCGACCTCCCTTCTCCAGAGAGTATCCTATGTCATGCTTATTCAAAAGAATGGACAGGGGTATAAGACTCATGATAAAGTGAATAGGTGATACTGAGTCTCCTTGGAATTTTAATTCTCCCAAGGGAAACTTTACCAAGCATCAGGTTAACATACGATTGTTTGAAGGAGGCTTCAAACAGATCTATGATGGATGAAGAGATACCACACATGGTCAAACAAGATAGAATCCAAGAGTGTGGGACGCTATCATACGCCTTCTTGTAGTCTATAAACGTCATGTTCAGGTTCCGCTTCCTTCGTTTACAGTTCTTCAGAATGAGTTTGTCTATCATTAACTGTTCTTTACATCCTCTGCTCTTCTTCTTGCACCCTTTCTGCTCAGGGGGGAGGAGTTTTTGCTGGTCTAAATGGTTGTATATGGAATCTGAGATTAGACCAGTGAACAGTTTGAACCACATAGCTGATAAGCATGTAATAGGTCTGAAATTGCCTGGGATGGGTCCTTTGGAGTGGTCTTTTATGAGCAGGTACGTGCGTCCCAATGTCATCCAGTCTGGGATATCAGCATTGGTTAGGCAATTCATAAGTTGATCTGCAATCCTATTGTGGAGTTCTTTAAAGTGCTTTATCCAATAAGCATGCAGTCCGTCTGTACCAGGAGAGGACCAATTGGTCATTTTCTTCACTCTATCTGCAACCAGGGTGTTAGTTTATAACAAACTGTCGCTGTTCATCTGCTGAGGCTAGTGCTGTTCTGACATCCGGTAACCATTCAGCATCACTGTTATGTTCAACCGGCTGCTCCCATATGTTCTTCCAGAACTTCAAACAAGAATCCTTGTCAGCCTCAGGGTGGGAGATATCCTGTTCTTCAGGGTTTGTTTGAAGGTTTCTGTAGAACTGCCTCTGGTTGTTTCCAAACAACTTGTTCTGGTGGTATCGTTCGCATCTTTTATTAAATCTCTTTATCTTAGCTGCTTTTGCACGAAGACGTTGCTTGAGCTCCTCAATGATGCATGATATACCCTTTTTCTTCAACAGGGGGTGACGTCTGTTGAGCCCTTCTAGTATTTTTTGTTTAAGGGTAATACCTTTCTTCTTCTCCTCAAGATAAGAGATGTCTTTCCTCACCTGGGTAATCTTATCTTCGATCTTTTTTTCCATAGCGGAGTTTTCCGCTTCTCTGTATTCTTATTTGCAGGTTTTTCACCAAGTCTTTCGCTGACTAAATGTGCTCCTGCAAGCAATAGAGTGTTGGTTTCAGTGATTGAAGAAGTAGGAATCTCTGCTATACATGAGTTGATGAGAGATGTTTCCTCCATAAGCTTCTTTCTGTTCACATGTCTCAGGGGCTTGGTTTCTATCACTGAAGGGTCTTCTAAGAGGGTTTTTAGCCGCTCAATGATTGCCTCCTTGTCAAAATCAGGTACCGTTGCGGTGGGGGTGAGTTTTTCGGCGGCAACAGTTGGGATAGTTGCATCCCTCAACGTCCTGATTGCTTGGGAGACTGTGGGTAGAGCTTGAGTTGTCGTTGTTGGAGCCTCTTCCACTACGCTAGGTGGAAGAGTACCTCGAATCTCCAGTAGTTCTATGTCTGAGAGGAGATTATTATTTCTGATTGACCTTGCTTGGTCTGCCAATCTTTGTTCTGTACAAGTGAAGAGTCCGGCATCATCCCACAGTGACCGGAGTCTCCTTCTGTAACCAGAGCGGGATGGTTGGCTCTGGTAATAGAGCCAACATGCCCGGAAAGAAAACCACTAGGTGTCAATTGCACCTAGTCAAGAAACCAAGAGCTAGAGCAGATGGATAAAAGATTTTCACCAACGAGAGGCAAGAAAGGGAATTAACCGGGGGACAAGTAACACCAAATACAAGGATATATATAATATAATTTCAATTACAATGTAATTACTAATACAATGGATATGGTAAATGGTAACACTATAAATAGTAATTATTTACTAAGGATGGAGAATCTTTCAGTACTGACAGTCTATGCTGCTATGATAACGAATAAATATATAATAAGGGGATAAATCTTAAAATACTGCTGTTTCAGTCACATATATACTTTTCTTGGTTTTTCCATTTTGTGCTTTTTTTTGTCTTTTTTGTTTTTAACTTTTTTTGTAGTTTTCTTTCTTTTTTTTTTGTTCCTTCCTAAACATGAATTTTAAGCAATTACAAAATCTCACGATAACATTAAATGATGTTGAGAAGGACAATAGAGCCTGAGGTTCTGGTGGTCTACAGGTGTTTCACCAGCTGTTTGGTCAAGTTCTAGCCCGTTACTTGGACTAGTAACGGGGGAACTAACAGTGTTAATAGTTTAAACTTTGTGCTATAACTGAACCTCAGGAAGAAGACATCTGGCAATGCCAGGGAGTGAGTAGCTCTAGCCGGCAGCCATCCAATGGACTGCTGCCGTTACCGACCCCGGGGGTGCTGACCACGAGTATCAGCCTCGGACCCACTACTCACTAGCTCTGGTGTTCTGAGCGGGGGCCCTTATTATTATTATTATTATTATTCGAACTTAATAAATGTAATCCCTAACTCAGCTCACTCTGGAATCCTCTCAAGTGATATTCTGGAAGGTCTGCCTAACCACGGAAGATTCTATTCTAAGTTTTCTCTTTCGAATCTCTAATTGTAAATGTAAAATAATAACATATACTTGTAGTTAGTTAACTTAAGGTAGGGTCTAAGTGATGCAGGCGTCCGTCCTTTTCGCTCTGAGAAGTGCCGGAAAAAACAGGACCATTAATGTCAGTAGATGAAATTTTGACAAAACTGACATTGTCATTAATGGTCATTAATGGTCATTAATGGTCATTAATGGTCATTAATGGTCATTAATGGTCATTAATGGTCATTAATGGTCATTAATGGTCGTTGCATACCCCCCCCCCACTATCCCAAATTTGAGTTCCTGTGTGGTAGGGATTATCCCCACTATTTTAAGATTGACTATTCATATTTATATCAACTACCTAGTGTTTATTGATATAAACCACTCATTTAGATCCAGGAAATGAATGAACGCTTGTTCTATATATGGTAAGCTACTTTTATTATTTTAATGTAAAGTTTAAAATGTAAAGTTGGAACTTCTGAATGTGTTGAGCGCAGTTCTAACAAGACATGTATTTTCAGCTGTAGATATTAGGTTTTAAAAGTTACCACAAGGTAGCCGAAAGTTATAAGTTCCTCACATAAATTATCACAATGGTATATTATCAATTCTAAATCAATATTCATAACAGATTTGCTAAGAGACATAAAAGACCCTGAATTTCCCAACACGCTTGAAGACCTTGGGATCATCTCCGAGGAGAAAATAACAGTTTCTAATGATATTATTACTATTTATTTCAAACCCACAATAACACACTGCTCGTTGGCTACAATGATTGGTAAGCTACTAGCATTTCATCGTAGGGTTCACTCTTGAAATAGTTTAAATTGATGCGGATTGATGACTACAGAGTACAGATGTGTCTTAAAATCAGTTGAAATGTTCTGTTTTTGTAAAAAATTACTTCCATCTGCGATGGTTGCATTTACATATACCGTCATAATGTGTGATGCTGATATTTCAGGGTTGTGCATACAAACAAAGTTACAAAGGGAACTTGGACAAGAGAATAAAATAGATGTTTTTGTAGAGCCTGGATTCCATGAAAAAGAAGAATCAGTCAACAAGCAGATAAATGACAAAGAGCGGCGCGCTGCTGCCCTTGAGGATCCATATCTTTTAGCAATGGTTGAAGAGTGCCTTGCCGAACCAGAATATTAGTCAATTTTAATACAGGGAATGAGATTTTATTTGTAATAATAATTATTTATTTTTAGATCTTTTTTAATTAGTTTTTTTCTTCATGCTGATGCTGTGTATTAAAAAAGCGTTTATCATTCAAAAATGCCACAAATCTTAGGAGTTTTAGGTATTGACTACAGGGACAAAAGGATTTCGCGATTATCTTGGCCAAAAATTGCGGTACCGCGAAATTTAACAAGCTAAACATTAAACTATACATAAAATTTGTCGCGGTAAATGGGAAATTTCGCGATTTCGTACATGCCACGAAATCCTTTTGTCTCTGATTGACTATATCCTAACTTTTTAAGTTAAGACTCACCACTTTAAACATAGCACAGAAAAATGACATGAAATCATAGCATGGTCGATAATCTATAGCTTTTGGGAACTTTGAAAAAATGGGGGATGAAGCTTTAAGTACACTGCTTAACATGGGTTTTGGATACGAGGAAAGCTCCGCTGCACTTGAACACTGTAAAAAAGATGTCAGTGAAGCTGTTGCTTACTTGACTGATCCAAGTAGAGCTGTTGTCCCGTACGGTCCTCATCTAGAAAATAAGGGAACTCAGCCAATGGAGATTGAAGCATTTGAGGTGGAAGAAGAAGAATTTCCTGCCCAAGGTTTTTGTTGCTGTCACTATCATTTATATCTTTGACTGGGCCAGTATTTTAAGAATTTGGCTGGGTTGATATTATTTTTTTAAATCTGAAACTTGATGTTATTGATTACTGTGAGGTAACAGTAATCAATTTTAGACGTTCCTTCAGAAATGGTCATGATAGATGTAGCCTTCATCATAAATCCAATCTTCAGTGCTCAAAGATATCAAGAGTAGGATATACAGCGAGAACTGGTCTATGAATTACAGAGAAGGGGAGGGACTCTTAAAATGTATTAATGCTGCTACCAGGCTTTCTGACAAGAACATTGTGCAATCTAACGATGACTGTAAAAAGTTTCTGTATGAGGTATTGTTTGAAGGATTGTGTTTTTCATGTTATTATGGTTGAATCAATCGTTTCTGGTACAACTATTTTCAATGACTAATTTGACCAAAACCCATAATTGGGTAGAGTGGACCGCTGCCAGTGTCTCTCTTTTCGAAACAAAAGTGGGGGGGGGGGGGGGGGGGGCAACCATATTAAAGTATATTAAATTATATCCCCGGGTCAAAATCGGAAAAAATCCTACATTTTAATATACTTTAATATACCTACAATTAGAAGATTTATCACCCTACGCGCGTGGGGTGGACTCCTGGGGTGGACTTTTATTCAGCGCGTATTTTGTAGCCTGTTCAACTTGACGTTTTGATTCGTTACTATCTCAATGTCACAGATACACGGAATGTGAGGTGATCATCTTAAAGAGAAACGTCTCAGCTTCCACCTGGTGTAAAGTTTATCTTTGTACTCAAAATATAGCTCGCCCAGTGTGCAATAGAAGTTGACAATACAATAACCACGTCTGCGACCGGTCGCTAGATACCGGAGTGTTGCACAAAATTGGGTCCCTAAATTAAAATTCTATGACACAGTTACCATGCAGAAATGTCTGGAGTAACATTTGGTGAAAATTTGAAGGGTCTACTGTAAATATTGCAAAAGTTATTGAAAACAAACTACGGTAGCTTAATCAGAAGTTTTTGGGAAAATTTCAAATTTTGTACGTAGTGGGGTCTACAGGGGTGGACTCTTGCGGCGCGCATCTGATGGAGTGGCTTTTTCAACAGCCGTCAGTACGGCCAATATCAGAGCACAAATTATTGTGAGTAAGACCTTAATGATCAGCTATGAACCCCTCACTAGAGTAGTAACCGTATCTAAAAACAAGGAAATGTTATTCCGTCAAAGCTCAAATTTTTTACTCTTCTCAGTGCAGTTAGTGTTACTATGAATGTACTAGCTAAGTATCGTTGATCGTAGCTGCATTACACAGTAGAAAGTAACCAAGGAAGACTGCTGATTAACGAAGCAATTTCAACGTGAACAGTTCCAAAATACATAATCATGGCGACGATAGTTCAACTTGAACCTTTATAGTTTTTACAGTCTAAAATCACAATAAAATCACGTGAACTGCAAATCACAAAATCAAATCACTCAAATCTGATAGTCCCGTTACAGTACGCTTTCGTGACAACCTCAACGCTTAAAAAATAAATATTCTGCAGTCTTGTGACCACCGATGGCCCTAACTCTCCCTTGTCCGCGAGGAGCATCGTTGCGACCATGGGGTTTCAGTTCTTTGTTCTTCCCACTCGGCTTCGATAGATCGAATTGGCTGGAAGTCAATCTATCAGAAAGACCTTTGTCGATCTCAGGGGCGTGGTAAATTGTGGATGTCGGAGTATAAAGCTTCCTGAAAAGATTGAGACATTCACTCGGTCTGTTGTAAATATCAAATAGTCCTTGTAGGCAGAGATTTAACTTATGTTGGGTTTGATAACTAGAGAAGGCGATTTGATATTCATTGATAGTATAAGCATATAAGCATAAGTGATAAGTTTATATACCCTTTTTATGGTACCTCGAGGCTCGATATCTGTATTCAGTAATCATCACTCAAAATCTACTTATTAAATTTATCAACTAAACAAGTTAATGTATTACCGTCCTAGAGAGGTTTCCTGAGAATTTGAAGTCTCTGTAGGTTGCTGGCATGTCTACTAAGCTCTTCGATTGAGGAGTTTTGGACCCCTCGGCGGTCCAAATGATTTATAATGCTGTGGGCATTTTCAACATCTATCGAGGTAAACGCCCTCGCAGCATAACCTGTAGAGAATGAACATGTCATCAATGTGAAGTTCAATGATAAAAATCAGAGTGGCCGATTTCAACGGGCAGAATTCTAATATCATGGCCATGGGGAATGGACTATTTTTTGTCGATTTTGCAAACCAAACTGGCAAACGATTGTTGATTTTCGTCACTAGTCTAAAATGAATGCAAACGTTCGGCCGAACATTTACATGATTAGAAACTTACCGGTTTCTTTCGTTATTATGCACAGACATGGCCGGGCTTGGGTTCCGCATACGATATCTTCTATCAGATTAAAGTTGAACCCACACTTTGTACTGCTCGTGGGAGGAGGAAAGCAAACGGAGACCTTTTCCATGAGCATCTCGTGTAGTACCATCATCATGTCGATTCTGATATCAGCTGCAAAATCCGTCTATTACTAAATGCTAGCTTTTCGAACTTCGTATCTTGGAAATAACAACTTCTATGAAAGAACACGCACACACACACACACACACACACACACACACACACACACACACACACACACACACACACACACACACAGACACACAGACAGATACACACACCCACAAACACATACAGACATAGACACACACACACAGAGACACAGACATACAGGCATACAGGCATAAACACAGACACAGACGGACACACAGACAGACACACAGACAGACACAGCTACACACAGACAAGGACACACAGACACACACCCACAAACACATACAGACATAGACACACAGACACAGGCATAAACACAGACACACACAGACACAGACGGACACACAGACAGACACAGTACACACAGACACACACAGACACACACAGACACACACACATAAACACACATAGTTCACTTCAGTGCACTACATTACAATTACAGACACACGCAGTACAATCAGAGACACACACACGATACAAAGACAGACACAGACACAAACACACAGAGTACACTTCAGTACAATCACAGACGCAGGCACAAAGACATATACAAGAAGAGCAGATTGAAGTACCTTCATTTGCAGATGTTGACGCATTGATCTGTGGGATATGTTCTTCAGTCTGTAACTGATCATCTGCTAGAACTGTCTCATCTGGATCAACCGGAGGAGTATCTTCCGGCAGGAGTCTGAGTGGGTCTATCGGGACAGCCATGGATCGCTCTCCCTACCTTGCTGAAATAAAGACAAAGGTCAACGACGGATGTCGCATGTTAGTCCTGTAACTAAATGTAATCCAAAATAGTGAATAAATAATTTTTACATCTGAACGATTGTATGTCTGGATGGTGATTTTTAATCAATGAACAAAAGTTCAGGATTTTACCTTCTGTTAAGCTGTTAGCAATGACTCTAGCACCCTCTCCCTACAAAACGACCATATCTCGGGCTGAAGCTTTAAACCGTCTTGCCTCAGCAGCCATCTAGCACAGTCGACCTGTCCTGTTAATTATGTGATCATCAAGTTACCAAATTTAATCCTTCAATATTCAAATAATTGATTATCAGACAAAACAGAGTTTAGAGCTCGACGTATGCTTCAGGGTTTCACACTGTGCTGTAATCAAACGCATGACTAAAACCTCTTGCTACTATTACCAATGTTAGATAAACCCATATTGTTAAGGCGGTCAAATGATTTACCTGAGTTGATCGCGTCCATGAAAGGGTTAAACTGCGTTCTGTCCAGCTTGTTAATGTCCGTTCCAGCAGCCAGCAGTGCCTCCGCCTCCGTCACTCTCCCTGCTTTGCATGGCCAGTGAAGCGTTGAGCTCCCCTCTAAGCTCTTTGACGATCCGACGAAGGATCCAGATTCCCTTCTTTTCTTTTGAGATTGCTTCAATTCTTCCTGGAGTATGCGGATTACCATTTATATACTTCCATACAGGGCGCGTGAACAATCAGCAATGAATTATCAATTAATCAATCTAGTTTTTGAGTAGAAAGTCCACAGATTGTGATACATTGGATTTGATATTGGAAAAGACATAGCTTACCAAATACCTTTTCATGTGCTTTTTGGAGGACAGGGATGACTTATTCCTGCGTGCCATTACACCATAACTATCTGCTGTAACAGCAAAAATTAGAATTATGTCGGACATAATTCTAAAAAATTGGAACATCGTAGTTAATCAGTGTGGTGCTAACAACAGAGAGCGATTTGAACGGTAGGCAATTTCATAAATTCCATTAACGCGATATAAGGATGATTGGAACAGGCTAAAATCTACTATGTAGCATTGATAACTGGCTATATCGCTGCATTAAACGATAAAAGTATTGCTAACTATGGATATTCTAAGTGATTTAGGCAGAGGGGAACCGGCACAGCCAGATTGCGTTGTCTTCAGTGACTAAGTTTCACGATAGTAAAATTGACCTTATATATTTTTAAAAAGGATGCACAGTTCAAGCAATAAATCGATCAGCTGCTCATATGATATTTGCATTTAAAGGAGGGCCCAGTGCAGTGACAAGTAAGTCTGTTAAGGCAACATTTAGTTCTGAGATTAGCTGAGTCTTGACAAAGATAAGTTGAGTTTCGAGAAAGTGCACACGGATAAAGTTATCAAGTGAAAATGATGAGACTAAGTTAGGGTCCAGTCAACAGAATGGCAGCTGTAACAGAAACAGTTCATTGGATAGGGGAGTAGGGGATTATGACGGAGTGAAGTTTATATAGCAGGGCAAACAAAAAACAACTGACAGCACTGAGCAAGTGAACTGGAAAATTGAGGAAGGGAAATAACTGTGGTTGTCAGCCCTTTCCGTAGCAATCAGGATTTCCCACGAGATCGATCAGGCAATCAGGATTTCCCACGAGACTGCTCAATCCGATGCGCGCACTTTTGTCACGTGACGGCCACGTGACGCTCAAATCGTTGTCACGTGGTACAGAAGGGAGGTTCCTAGAGCGTCCTTCTCGACAAGAGGGAGTTTCTCACGGTTTATCTTCAATAACTATCGCTATTTTTATAGTAGAGAGTTGAAACTTTCACCAAATGTTTCCCTAGACATTTCTGCATGGTAACTGTGTCATAGAATTTTAATTTAGGGACCCAATTTTGTGCAACACTCCGGTATCTGACGACCGGTCGCAGACGTGGTTATTGTATTGTCAACTTCTATTGCACACTGAGCGAGCTATATTTTGAGTACAAAGATAAACTTTACACCAGGTGAAAGCTGAGACGTTTCTCTTTAAGATGATCACCTCACATTCTGTGTATCTGTGACATTGAGATAGTAACGAATCAAAACGTCAAGTTGAACAGGCTACAAAATACGCGCTGAATAAAAGTCCACCCCAGGAGTCCACCCCACGCGCGTAGGGTGTTTATGTTCTTCGTTAAGATTTACATGATGAACTATATTTTTCACTCAGATTCGCAAGATAACAGAGGCACATATTAGGTGCGGGATCGCACAATTTACCGTTTTCCGCACATTTCCGCATAATTTATTGTTTTCCGCACACTTCCGCACATTTTGTTATTATAATTTTGAAATTTTCGCGTTAAGATTTTCGAGTGTAAAAACCAAAATATGTTAAAAATCGGGCCCTTTTAGGACCGTGACTCAGGCCCTTTTAGGACCGTGACTCAGGCCCTTTCAGGACCGTGACCCAGGCCCTTTTGGAACTCATACCTAGGCCACGTGACCCAGTTACCACGTGACCCAGGCCCTTTCGGGACCCTGACCCAGGCCCTTTCGGTACCGTGACCCAGGCCCTTTCGGGACCCTGACCCAGGCCCTTTCGGGACCGTGACCCAGGCCCTTTTGGAACTCATGCCTAGGCCACGTGACCCGGTTACCACGTGACCCAGGCCCTTTCGGGACCATGACCCAGGCCCTGTCGGGACCGTTACCCAGGCCCTTTCGGGACCGTGACCCAGGCCGTTATGGAACCCTCGTCGTTACCGTACTTGGATCATACCTGCATCCCTTTTTATCGGGTAGTGAGCTCTATTCGTTGTAGCGTTGGCTTTATAGTGGGCTTAATGGATCTGGGATCAAATGGTTTACAAGTACTGACGATCAATGCCAACAAGCGTGTCACATATTTGCGATCACGCATGAGATCTGATCGACTCTATCAAGAGGCGTCTTCAAATAACTGTCTCCTGATCTCTACCAGATCAAGTCACTGTTCTCAGATAACTGAATCTCAATATAGGTTCAATCATGGTCTTAGTAAAGAACTACACCCTCAGTAACACATAAACAGACATATTTTTGATAAGAGCGGCGGTTATACGTTTAGAATTTCCAAAGTCCTTCAGAAAATGCAAAAGAAAACCGCACAATTCCCGCACAAATTTCGAAAAAATCGTCGCACATTTGCCGCATAATTGGTAAAAATTTACCGCACCTTACCGCACATTTTACCTTTATAGTCGGGTGCGGTACCGCATAATTTCGATTTTTTTACCGCACCTAATATGTGCCTCTGCAAGATAAGCCTGTTTTTGGACTAGTACATGGATTTTCATCCAGATTGGTCAAAAATTGGCTGAGCTATGAGCTTAAAAAAATATGCCCATATTTGGGCATACGCTTTTGCCCAAATTCGATAAAATTTCAATATTTTTTAATGAGCCTAACTCTATGTGAAAGATATAACTCAGTGTTTGTTGAATATAGTGGATACTAAGTAAAAAGACCTCCATGAACAAAATTGGGAAAATTGCACATAATATCTCGGTTCGGAATACTAGCCAAAATGACTTCATTAAATTTGAAATAACTCCATCAGTTTTCAATATTTTTTCAAGAACTTTTTGGAATCAATTAAGAATTGCATTTCAAGCTTATTTTGGGCAACAATTTTTAATGTAGGCCTCCAAGAAGATAGGGATATATTAAAGTATATTGTAGGTATATTAAAGTATATTAAAGTATATCCCGGGTCAAAATCGGGAAAAATCCTACATTTTAATATACTTTAATATGGTTGCCCCCCCCCCCCCCCCCCAAAGTAAATGATATTAATCTGTAAATCGTGAATGAATGGGAAAAGCCGTGAATGAATGGGAAAAGCGAGCGACCGATTTCATTCTCGGTATCATTTTGTATTTGCTGACAGTCGTTCAAAGTAATATCATTTACTTTTGTTTGGGAACGGGAGACACTGGCAGCCGTCCACTTTACCCAATTATGGGTTTTGGTAAAATATCATCTCTTTTTGATCAATGTCAGGGTAATGGGACTACTGCGGAAATACCTTAGTATTGCTGTATAACTATTACAAAAGTAATCCTGATAACACGCGACCTCTGCCTGATCCAGAGGATGTCACCATTTTACCTTCACACAGATATCGAACGCTGTAAGAAGATGACGATCAGACCTCGTTAATGTCAGGGTACTTTACAAAGTCGAAATATAAAGTAAAATTTCTTAAAAACCTCCACATTACTATTTCTTATTCCTGTCATCTTTGACATTGAATTAGAATGTTTTGAACTTAAAATATGCCTGCTGAACTACTTTCGGTAAGTCTTAATGCCTGAAAAGCAGTAAAGGGGGTATAATAATATATTGGGTAAATAGTATAGTGAGTATAATGGTGGCGGTCGTGCTTGCCAGCACTGTGATATAACATGTATTTTAGGTGCTCCCAGTAGCATTTACCAAGCTCCTTACAAATATAAACTGTATTTTAGGTGCTCCCAGTAGCATTTACCAAGCTCCTCACAAATATAAACTGTATTTTAGGTGCTCCCAGTAGCATTTACCAAGCTCCTCACAAATATAAACTGTATTTTAGGTGCTCCCAGTAGCATTTACCAAGCTCCTTACAAATATAAACTGTATTTTAGGTGCTCCCAGTAGCATTTACCAAGCTCCTTACAAATATAAACTGTATTTTAGGTGCTCCCAGTAGCATTTACCAACCTCCTTACAAATATAAACTGTATTTTAGGTGCTCCCAGTAGCATTTACCAAGCTCCTCACAAATATAAACTGTATTTTAGGTGCTCCCAGTAGCATTTACCAAGCTCCTCACAAATATAAACTGTATTTTAAGTGCTCCCAGTAGCATTTACCAAGCTCCTCACAAATATAAACTGTATTTTAGGTGCTCCCAGTAGCATTTACCAACCTCCTTACAAATATAAACTGTATTTTAGGTGCTCCCAGTAGCATTTACCAAGCTCCTCACAAATATAAACTGTATTTTAGGTGCTCCCAGTAGCATTTACCAACCTCCTTACAAATATAAACTGTATTTTAGGTGCTCCCAGTAGCATTTACCAACCTCCTTACAAATATAAACTGTATTTTAGGTGCTCCCAGTAGCATTTACCAACCTCCTTACAAATATAAACTGTATTTTAGGTGCTCCCAGTAGCATTTACCAAGCTCCTCACAAATATAAACTGTATTTTAGGTGCTCCCAGTAGCATTTACCAAGCTCCTTACAAATATAAACTGTATTTTAGGTGCTCCCAGTAGCATTTACCAACCTCCTTATAAATATAAACTGTATTTTAGGTGCTCCCAGTAGCATTTACCAAGCTCCTCACAAATATAAACTGTATTTTAGGTGCTCCCAGTAGCATTTACCAAGCTCCTCACAAATATAAACTGTATTTTAGGTGCTCCCAGTAGCATTTACCAACCTCCTTACAAATATAAACTGTATTTTAGGTGCTCCCAGTAGCATTTACCAAGCTCCTCGCAAATATAAACTGTATTTTAGGTGCTCCCAGTAGCATTTACCAAGCTCCTCACAAATATAAACTGTATTTTAAGTGCTCCCAGTAGCATTTACCAAGCTCCTCACAAATATAAACTGTATTTTAGGTGCTCCCAGTAGCATTTACCAACCTCCTTACAAATATAAACTGTATTTTAGGTGCTCCCAGTAGCATTTACCAAGCTCCTTACAAACACCCCCCTACACGACAGCGAGTTGCAGGACGCTATCTACAACATTACCTCAACCTACCTCGCTCTCGCTGTCTCTCAGCTCAGAAACACGTTTGTTATTTGGGTGGGACTTTTAGAATGTATAGTTGTTAATGAGTTAATGAGTTAATTAGACAATTAGATAATGCTTGATTAGATTGTTAATCTGTTAGTAATAAAAATAATGTCAAGTAATTTGTTAGATAATTATTTAATTAACCCTTAACGGCTACTTTTTCAGCCTGGATTTGAGTGTACTAAAAATATTATCCACTGTAATGGATCCTCGCTCTGAGTTCAACTTCAGAAACAGGTCAAAACGATCCAAACACAATTCTAGCCATGTAAGTCACTTTTTAACCAAAAACACTGTGGTAGCTTAACATATGTGCAGCAAATTTAAACGGTACATATATATTTAATTAATAATAGCTATCAAACGTCAAATTGTTATATTGACCGATTTGCTTTGTACGACTTTAAGCTAACTCTCTGTTCTGGCAGGATGTAGCATACGCGCAGTGTCCTCCTCGAACCACCTTTAGAGATCCTTACGGCTGGTTAGCTTCTCTTATTAACACATTCGGAGTAGAGGGAGGATTTCAAGCTATTTTGTGAGTACCCCCATTATTGTCTCTTACAGCTTACAAGTTATTTCAAAGCGTAGTTTTTAATCGAAAAATTATAATCGATTGAACCCAATTAAGTTCATAATGTTGATTTTTCAGATGAAATAAATTCTATGAAACTGTCTAGTTAACAACATGAATACATAACCAGGTCCCACGCGTGTGGAGAAGAGAAGCCATCCCCGTTCTTACTGTCTCATGTCCTGAAACCGTGGGGGAAATGTATAGAGTACCTGGTTCCTGAAACCCTGGGCCCTATCTTCAAACAGCTCATGCAGGTTACATTACACAGCAGCTCTAAATACTGTAATATTACAGTATCAAATACAGACAAGATATTTATCTTATCTGTATTTTGTTCCTGTGAGTAACTCAGAATATGAGTGCTCTCTTAGGATGCAGATAACAATGTTATCTGTCATGATGTATTATTATATTGTGCACTCTGTAACTATTATAGACTTGGAAAGTGGGATTGGTATTGTAACCATAGTAAATAATGCGTACTTTCTTGCACTCATCCAAAATATAAAAGTTTAGAACTAACTTTATACAGGCGAGTATAGAAGCGATGAAGTCAATGACAGTGGAAGATTACAAGTCTAAAGAGATTGGTTTAGTATGTGATCTGCTTGTGTCCATGAAGCTTATCTGTACTGGCTGTGGCAACCAGTTCACTATCGGGGTAAGTGCCAATGTGGTAAGATATTCGTTCTGTTTATACATTTTTAATTCTTCATTATTGATAGTTTTAGTCTGTGATGATCATATTTGCAAGCTTATATATATTATGTGTATATTCAGCTTAAATATTCTGCCACTAGAATACTATACCAGGTGTAAGTGAATATATATATGGTTTGATGGGTTTTGATGGGTTTTGATGGGTTTTGATGGGTTTGATGGGTTTTGATGTTGTTGTGATTATCGAAAATCATCAAACCGTTCAACAAGGAGCCGATCAATTTATTTGACTTTAAAATCTAATTTGAAACTGTAACATGATCGTTATTGGATATGTGTGAGGAAAAATGGCAATAATATCCGAATCTTTGTGATAAAAATGTTAACACAAACCTTATTAGATGTGAATTAATACTTCAAATACCATATAAACATGGTGCAAGTCCTCAATAACCGAATCATATTATTAACGTTATATTTTTTAAAATATTACACTGTATTTGTCTCTGAAAAGTCAAATACATAATTTCTACCGCTGCTCAACTGAAAACTGAATTATAATTCCTCAGGATGCTAAAGGCATGGACGAGATGAGACTACAAGAAATAAAGAAAATGCTGACAACTTCCCATTTTAACGCCAGAATGAATGCTCTAAACGAGGTATAACCTACAAAGTACATATTTTAAATTGTCTGTCCTTTTATTTAAGTTAGTAATTAAGTAAAACACGATACAAATACTCTAAGGAATGTGTAACAATCCTGCCTGTGTCTGCCTCGTTATAATAAATAATGTTTAATTATGTGATCACGTTAATTATGTTTTTGTGTTAACGATCACTTTATTTGGTAAAATTACACAGTGCAACTGTGCATTGTGTATGTGGTATTGCATAGCTGCTGCTAATTATACCTGTAGCACTGCTAAATTATGCAAATATTATAAAGCCACGTGTGCGTCCTTTTGTTGATTACAAGACCAGGCATGCAGTTCGTCATATTTTGCATTCCTTTCAAAGTTAGTAAATACTGCATGATGCTGATCAGTAAACAATTAAGTAATACCTGATACGTGCCTTTCAGATAACAAATTCCTGCGCTCATGATTTTCAGTTCTAATCATGTCATAAATAAATGTGTTAAACAGCGTTTTACCACGTGGTTACCATGCGCTGAACACGTGGTTACCATGCGCTGAACATGTGATATACACGCGCTGAGCCCCTTTCTCACCACGTGACACATCCCAGACACTGCGTATAGTGGAGGAAACACGTGACCTGAACCAGAAGTACCCAATAGATTCGGAGAGAGTACTGGAGTGGTTAACTCAACAAAGGATCCTGATGGTGGCGCTGGAGAACAACCTGCATCAGTCACAGTACACCGCTAAGATCATGAAGATAGCTGACTTTATTGGTGCTTCCATCACGGCGGTGAGAGGAATAGTTTTGTTAATTTATTTAGGGTATTTGTTTTCTTACGTGATAGATATAATGTCACTGTGATAACTACTTTGAAAAAAATGTACAGTTTTCTTGCGTCCCAGCCATTCATAACCCAGCCAAAATATTTCCTTGTGTTTCAGGAAGATATAAACCAGTTTTGGAAGCTGCAGGAGGGCAGACAGCCGGTGGTTGTTGAGAATGCTCACAACATTATTGCAGCTGCGGCTGTTCACTTTAATGAGGTAACATTTTGATTTGATTTAAATTTCTTATGGTGTGCATTGCAATCTACTGTTACATTTCATCAAGTGTAAAACACGTAATTACCTTTTTGTAACATGCAATCTTATCGTAACCTGAAGAGATTTGAAGAAAGTTATTATTTTCAGAAGCAAGCAAATCATCTTTTTACACTGATAACACAATCTTGGTTAAAGGAGGACCATAAAGGCAGACAAAGACTTCTCTCCCTCCTTGGAAAACTAGGTAACAATTCAAACTGGGTTACATTTTAATTATGTACTAGTAATAAGTAATTATCTACTTATTATAAGTAAATTGTCCCAAGTTTTTGGCATATTTTCTCCTGAAACACGTGTTAACCACGCGTTAACCACGCGTTAACCACGCGTTAACCACGCGTTAACCACGTGTTCATGTTAACTAATCACGTGTTAACTTCAGGTAAGTTGCCACTGGTATTGGAGCAGGTTTGGGCGCTGATTCACCTGAAAGATGTGGGTATAGAAGAAATAGAGCAAGGTCTGACACTTCATCTGGAATTACTTAACTCACCTACCTACCAGGTTTTTATCTTTTCTCCTAATTATAATATCTTGTTTCAATTATATTATTAGTTTTAGTACTCTTATTTTATCACAATTGTTAATTTTGAATGTTATCGACTGTCTTAATGATCCGGTTACCGTTATGTACAATTCATTACATATTACATATTACATATTCAATGTTACTCAATACTCATGATTCGATTGCACCATTAATCCTATACCTTGTTTCTTTTCAAAGAAACAATGTTAACGCTCTTTAAAAAGTCTGTATATACTGATTTAAACTTAACCAGGACGACTGTAAGAAGGAGTATGTAATGAAGTGTATAGCCGATATTAAGAACAGGGAATGGGTGGTACCAGCCATGAACTATCTTGTTAGAATACTTCAGAACTGTTTACAGTCCTCTTCTAAACTTGGGAAGAATATTCTCAGAGTAAGTTTTTTTTCTTCTTGAATTTAGTGAAATTGAAGAGTACGATAAATTTAGTGTTATTCTTCCTTTTGTTGTAATTCTTCGGTTAATTTACGTGTTTTAAAAGGTGAGCGAAGAATTTGTTTCTCCAACCATAACACGTGTGATTAGTTCAGCATGTTAATTATTTAATTAATTAGTAATGTTAATTATTGGGTGACACTGAAACTTTATGTTATTATTTCAGGAGTTACAAAACAGCGTGTTAGCGGTGAAGCTGATAACAAACAGCCTGGTCTCTAACTACACCAGTATAACAGATAAATACAACGACAAAATACATCCTGATACACGATGCAATGATTCGTTGTACACGCTTACTGAGTGTGTCCATACACATCTCAAGGTAATTAGCTTGTTCTTAATTGTCGGTCAATTAGCATCTGCGTTAACCTTCTATTATTGTAAAAACACTGAATTCTTAACTCAATTCGTTAGAATTTGCACTCTTATATCCAATAAATAATTTAAGATAATCTTCTTCAGATGTTGAAATTAGTACTGGATCATTGCAGTGACTTCCTGCATTGGAATCACGTCGAAGCAATCTGGGACTGCCTTGCTGCTCCAAATGGTAATTTAAGCGGGAACGAGATTTACGCGCGTTTTCTGGCCCAAATTCTTATTTTGTGTGATTTGCGTAGCGCGCGAAACAAATTGAATGATTCAAATATGAAAAAAAGCATTTGAAACTAGCAATAGCAAAACTTTTGTTTATCGAACATGGCGCGATAAAACCTTTGGATCATGGCCAGCATGACACAGCTGATGGATTTTAATCGGGTAACTGGCAAAAGTCCCGCACACATTGGGACGTCCGCGGAGTTTCTCGATGTAATCCGACTTATATGACCCTAAATAACACTAATTACTCGGGTACACTTTTTCACCAGTGGGGCATTTCTCGGAATCACGCCCTTTTTGACCGCACCCATATTGCGACCCCCACTATAAATTATCTCGGCTTCTGATTGAGATACAGACCTCAATTTTGAACCAAAATGTGCCTAAGATGCATGTTTATATTAGTGCTATGAAGATACTTAAGGCCTAAGAGACTTAGTTTTTGAGAAATCGCCAAAACCAGATTTTACTATATTAGCAGTCTCGTGAGTAACAATTATTACACTTATTTCAAGATATCTCAGCTTCTGATTGGAGCTAAGCGCTCATCTTGGGCATGAAAATGGTCAGAATCATCATATTGAGTGGGGTAGAGCATGGTTTTAAAGTCTTCAGACTTCAGGTTGTTGAGTTATTAGGTCAGATCTCATTTTTACGCTCTCGCGAGTAGCGATTGATGCACTTATTTCAAGATATCTCAGCTTCTGATTGGAGCTAAGCGCTCATCTTGGGCATTAAAACGGTCAGAATCATCACATTGAGTGGGGTAGAGCATGGTTTTAAAGTCTTCAGACTTCAGGTTGTTGAGTTATTAGATCAGATCTCATTTTTATGCTCTCGCGAGTAGCAATTGATGTACTTATTTCAAGATATATCAGCTTCTGATTGGAGCTAAGCGCTCATCTTGGGCATTAAAACGGTCAGAATCATCTCATTGAGTGGGGTAGAGCATGGTTTTAAAGTCTTCAGACTTCAGGTTGTTGAGTTATTAGGTCAGATCCCATTTTTACGCTCTCGCGAGTAGCGATTGATGCACTTATTTCAAAATATCTCAGCTTCTGATTGGAGCTAAGCGCTCATCTTGGGCATTAAAATCAAAAATGGTCAATATCATCACATTGAGTGGGGTAGAGCATGGTTTTAAAGTCTTCAGACTTCAGGTTGTTGATTTATTAGGTTAAAACATATTTTTACGCTCTTGCGAGTAGCAATTGACACACTTATTACAAGATATCTTAGCTTCTGATAGAAGCTAAGCGCTTATCATGGGCATTAAAATGGTCAGAATGATCAAATTAAGTAGGGTAAAGCATGTTCCTAGGGCTAGAGGTTTTAGTGAAATTTCACTGGCATTTCTTGGCGATTAATTAAAATTCATTTTATAAATACAGGGTGGGCCAAAAGTCAGTACCCATACGTTGGCCTTAATAACTCCGCCGTGTTTTATATTTGAGAGCTGTTGCTTTGCAGATGAAATACTGTACTTACTGGTTCGAGGATTCCGTCGTCAAAATTTGAAAATTCGAATATTTTAGACCACGCCCATTCAATATTAAAACACCTATATTGTTTTCTCTGAACATGCTGAACGCCTAATTTTTTCAGAGACGGTAGATTATCAAATGTTGCATATGATCTGAAAACATGAGGCAAAACGGATTAGAAATGACGAAGTTATCAAGCATTTTCTGTATCACGTTAACAAAATTGATTGGGTGATTATGTGACACCGTGACACGACACCTTAATTGGGCACCCTTAACAATTCCCATAATGTTTAACGGGGTAGTTAACGGGGTCACCTTATCACGTGATTAGGTAAACCAATCACCTGATCACACGTAATGAATAAACTCGTTATGCTTCATATCTCGGTCATCTGAGAAGCTACAGTTCTAATTCTTTCAGGACAAACGTAATTCGAATGGCCAAACACAATTCAATAACATTTAGCTTGATCCGACTATCCAAACTATCAAATAAATGCAAAAATGAACCTCCATTTGAAAAAAATGAACGCGAATATTTTTCGAGTTGACAAATTCCTCGAACCAGTGGTGGTACTAAGTCATACCAGAAGGAAGTATTTAAATTGGGCACTCAGTGACTGAGCTATAAAGGCCAACGTATGGGTACTGACTTTTGGCCCACCCTGTATTTTCACCATTGCAGTGACTATACTTGCGAGAGCATAAAAATAGGGTTTGACCTAATCATTTAATAACCTAAAGTCTGAAGATTTTAAAACCGTGCTCGATGCTACTTAATCTGATCATTCTTACTATTTTAATGCCCATGATGAACGCTTATAAATATCTCCACTCAGAAGCTGAGATATCTTGAAATAAGTGCATCAATAAGTGCATCAAAAATAAGTGCATAAAATCTCAACACTTTTTTTTACTTCGGACTTTCCAACAACCACATTGTTACACAAGTGTAACCAGTCAATTACAGGAAGCCGAAGGATTCAATTATACATTAGGCCAGTGACGGTTAAGGTAGTGTGTACCATACTTTCGTCGCCCGAGACTTTGCTGCAATGGGCAGCTCCTCATTTAACCCTCACACCCGATTACTCGAGTATTCGGCTGAGTGGACTGGGGGGTTGCATAGACCACTCAGGGTACTTAGTTGAGCGTCGACGACGATCACCCCACGGCTAGTGACAGAGTCGGGAATCGAACCTGGTACCTCGAAAAATGCCAGGCCGATTTAACAACTGAGCCACTAAGCCGTTCGCGAGAGCGTACTCGCTACTCGTGAGAGCGTAAAAATGGGATCTGACCTAATAACTCAACAAACTGAAGTCTGAAGACTTTAAAACCATGCTCTACCCCACTCAATGAGATGATTCTGACCGTTTTAATGCCCAAGATGAGCGCTTAGCTCCAATCAGAAGCTGATATATCTTGAAATAAGTGCATCAATCGCTACTCGCGAGAGCGTAAAAATGAGATCTGACCTAATAACTCAACAACCTGAAGTCTGAAGACTTTAAAACCATGATCTACCCCACTCAATGTGATGATTCTGACCGTTTTAATGCCCAAGATGAGCGCTTAGCTCCAATCAGAAGCTGAGATATCTTGAAATAAGTGCATCAATCGCTACTCGCGAGAGCGTAAAAATGAGATCTGACCTAATAACTCAACAACCTGAAGTCTGAAGACTTTAAAACCATGCTCTATCCCACTCAATATGATGATTCTGACCATTTTCATGCCCAAGATGAGCGCTTAGCTCCAATCAGAAGCTGAGATATCTTGAAATAAGTGTAATAATTGTTACTCACGAGACTGCTAATATAGTAAAATCGGGTTTTGGCGATTTCTCAAAAACTAAGTCTCTTAGGCCTTAAGTATCTTCATAGCACTAATATAAACATGCATCTTAGGCACATTTTGGTTCATAATTGAGGTCTGTATCTCAATCAGAAGCCGAGATAATTTATAGTGGGGGTCCCAATATGGGTGCGGTCAAAAAGGGCGTGATTCCGAGAAATGCCCCACTGGTGAAAAAGTGTACCCGAGTAATAAGTGTTATTTAGGGTCATATAAGTCGGATTACATCGAGAAACTCCGCGGACGTCCCAATGTGTGCGGGACTTTTGCCAGTTACCCGATATTATGCTCTCCAGTTTGATTTTCCATTGTAATTTTGAGATCAACCTGGATCAATCACTAACCTCACGAGGGCTTAACAATGAAATACTGGGCTGGAACTGTTTATAATTCAACAAACTAGTCTCACTGCTCACATAGAATAAAGAATTGGATTTGTGATTCGAATTTTGTTCCTATTGATTCGTAATCCTATGATAATATTCCAGCGGCGCTCCAGCACTATGATGAATGTTGTGACTGGTTTTCCAAAGCGGTCAGCGACTTAGATCCGAACACACAAACGAAATTGTTTGAACAGAGATTGCAATTATTGGATACAAGTTGTATTCGCCCACTGGCTTTCAACTGTTTCAAGGTAAACCGCTCATCCCAAGAATTTCATTCTGCTCCTCCACTCAAATTTCATATCATAGTATAAAATATATCGTAAAATTTAACACAGTAAATAACTTAAGGCATTTCATATGTTGTTTCTAACAAGCAATTCCCGCTATCTTATTTGACGAATTCCAGGTATATTTTGAGAGTATAAACGTGCGTGATGGAAAAATAAAACGTTGGACAGCTAACAGTTTTACAGTTGAAAGTCTCAAGATGACCGGTGAGTTCTTCTAGAAAGTTCTTCTAGAATGAGTTTCAGAAATATAAGAACGTTTATAGTAACGTCCTCGTTTCACATCCACAAGGAAAACTAATATTATACTTACCAGTGACTACCCTTCATCTGTTTGGTAGTCCCAGTTTCGATGTATCACTGCACCGTTATTTCATCGTCTCAGGTCTGAAGTTTATCTGGAACGTTTCACTTGAAGCAAAGGACGAAGTTGTGTCACGTGATGCGATGGACTACCTTCTCAGAGTTAACCACTCTGCACTCTCCCCCAAACTAAAGAAAGACTGCTCAACACTGCATCTCAACTTTACTAATCATTGTCAAGAGCTCCTTCAGGTATGAGATCCTGTAGACACGACATATCAACAAACAAAGTTCCATATAGACATTCGACATGTAAATGTTTGCTTGCTAAAAACTGTAAGCTGAACAGTAATCCTTTCGTTTTAACTTTGGACTCTTAACGTTATTTCGTTTAGATCTCACTTCTGAATTCAAGCCTGAATATAATCTGGGTGGAAGACATAACTCAAATTTCCGCCAGGGTTGTGTCGAAGCCTCAGGAAGTGAACCAAACGAAGAGGTCCTCAAACGAACAGCCAACATCCTGAACATTACAACAGATTACATAGTTCTGGCAGAGTCCGCCCACAAGGGAGTCAGATTGTTGGAGCCGCATGGTGCTCGGTATTTGGGCACCCTCATAACTTTCAACTTGGAACTCGACAAGGACAATGCCATCAGGGTTAGTAGTTTTAATTTAGTATTTTCGTCTTGGTAATATTGAGGAAACATTTTCCATGTGTTGTTCCCTTTTTTTCTGCTGCAATTCAATTGAGATAAGATATTTTGCGTCGTTCATAAATATTAAGTCAACCATGCATGAAACTAATAGTTCATTTATACAAATAAATCATCGGTAACACTGATAAGCCTTCTCCCCCGCCGCCACTAAACCCAAACTACAGTTAACACCAATTCACCGACTTAATAATCTGTGAACTACAAAACTGATTTGTCACATTTTTAAAAGAATTTTCATAGTCTGTCAACATTTTACTTCTTCAAACATTTACAACTTCCAAAACGAATCATCTGAATCGCAGCATCACAGAAAGTTCAATTAAAAAATATAACTATCCAATTACAGTTCACAAGTTGGTTTCGTGCTGACTTGCTATTTCATGAGAATCACCAGAGTTACACCTTGAGATTGAAGTTATCTGAGAACTAACGGTTGATCTGCGATTTATTGAACGATTATTGTCCTCCGTGTTGTTTTCAACCTTTCTAATCGTACCAAGTTTATCCCATACCCACTCCTTGAAAACCTTGACTCTAACCGCAAATATGAGAGGATTAAGGGCTGCGTTAACGAAAAAGGGAGTGTAACTCAACAAATAAAACATCTGGAGCCTAGTTGCAGTAGGAAGATCCCGGTGCCCGACAACTCCAGATCTTTCAAGGCAGTTGTAGATGGGCAGGCAGATGGCAGAGCTGGAACACAGCACAAACGCCAGGGTTATCAGAGTTATGTTTACGCTAACCTCTTTGTTATCTCTCCAGTTAGGATCTGTTCTCTGGCGCCGTGCCAAGGTGTGCAGTTGAAGTAGAGCTGCTACGCCGGCTAGCACTGCACACAGAGTGACTGGTATTGCTGTGTAGGAGATGTGGATCACGCAGAGTTCAGCTGTGTGGTCACGTGATAACTGTGTGCTTCCTGAGCTGATGAGATAACCGATAAGTTTAAAATCAGCTGGCTCGTAGAAGTAACTTCTCATCAACGAATGAAGTGCTTCATTTAGAAAGTCGTCAACATCTGCATCCGCTTCTTTTGTGCCAACAAAAACCACAATCTCGGAGATGAACACGCACATCCAAACAGCAGTATAGCAAGCTATTACTGCTACCACCAGCTTGTGATACACAACTTGGAAGGGCCACACAATATTCACAGTCCGTATCATAGCAAATACCAGGCTTACAAAACAGGACACCCTGACAGACACAAGTGTCAGAGTGTAAGAGCCAGCAACCAAACAGAACATAGCAGCACTGTTCTGTGCAGTGCACGGCACCAGCAGGAGCAGAAATATCAGGGAGTGGAGAGCTGCGCATACGCCCGTCATAAAGTCACTCACACTCAGGGTAAAGTAGGTGAAAGGGACGGTGTCCTTGAGGTTGTTTCTATGGAACATCATCATTGTAGAGTTGAGCAGGATAGCGCTGAGTGCGAGCAGGGCGTTAACCACCATGTTGATGATGTAAAAAGCAGAGCCCAGGTCTGGGGGAGGAGTTGGGTTTGGGTCAGGTCCTCTGGTGATAGGAGATATACCAGTTGTAAACTGTAGAGTGTGCATGTTCAGCTCTTCAGTCATTGCTGAAACCTGTTAGATGTCGTCAATTAGTTTCTCAAGCTTTATTAGATTTAATGAACGAGCTTGGAATCTAGAAATCCGGGATTTTAGCTGTTGTACGTGTTTGATACACATTGCAAAGCCACGAAACGTGTATAAAAGCGGAAAAATGAGTTGGGGCTGTTATAATTTGAAGTGTTGCATAAAAATTGCGGCGGCCATCTGCCGGCCTTTTGTCGGCCACGTGGTGTACTGTTACGACTCAACTATCCCAGAAGGACAAATCTAATCAGTGAAAACACGCGGTAGTTACTTTACCACCCCACTGGCAAATTCCAGTAAATATTAAGAGAAATATTGTTCGCATCTGTAGTATTCGTTACTTAAACTGCCGTCGCAGCTTATTTTGAATAATTACAATGGCATTGACTTAAAGGCACAATGGCTTCGGTTCCGAGTAGCTGAAAATTGTTCACGGTTGACCGAAAACGGGAAAACCGCCACGAATGCTTTGCTAACGTGTAGTTTCCACTAAAAATGGCTTTTAGGTTTTCTGCGTTATTTCGATAAGACAATTATTTTGTTGGTAGGAAGCAATTTTGTTATCTACCATCAGTAATTTGGTAGCCTACGAGCCTAAGAGAACATAAAATGATGGTTAAAGTTATTATGCAGGACTCTTATTGAGCGGTTTTTAGCCCCTTGATTTGATCACAGGATTTTTTAACAGGATTCAATCAAATGTGTTATTTGATGCTAGTTTGTAGTAGCAGACGGATCCTACAAAATCATGATATTACATTGAATACTAAATAACCTGATAGGATTTATCATTTATTACATTTCTTTAAATTTAGTAAGCCATTTGATAAATTCGAGTTAGCATATTGTTGCCTCTTTATAACTTAGTTTATTTAATTTTACTTATATTCGTCCTTTGGAGCCACGTTATATGTTATAATACCTTCCGGGAATTATATCCACTAAAAGTCTCGGACACTGAGAGCTGATAATTTGCCGATATATCCCGCAAGGGAAGCCAAGGTATTATCAGCATAGACCTCAGACTGGCTGGCGGCAAGTTGTAAAACAAATAACACTGGCGTTCTATATATTAGACACTATATTGTATCATGCGCACGTATCGGATTACACCCCTTCCAATTCGGAACCGGAAAATATTATAATACATAATACCTCCGGTTCTTCGGGCCGCAAATTCCCTCCAGCAAGCTGTCGGGAATTATCAAGCGGAGCCCGAAGAGCCGAAGGCATTATTATATTATATTAAAGTCCTAGTTCTTGCTTTAATTTTAACGATCAAAGGGGACGAAAGTCTCAGCAGATTGTTCTAAATGGCCCAAATGGGGTCGATGGACGCTCTGTAGGAACTAAGTTGGATGTGATTCAAAGTCGTCTACAGAGACCATGGCGCGGGGATGTTCTGTTGGAATTAAGTTAGATGTGATTTAAAGTCATCTACAGAGACCATGGCACGGCAACGGTTGAGAAGCGCAATTGTTCGATAATAAAACCATAGAAACGTCCATTTCTTAATCAAGCACAGGTGAATGCGGGCATGATAATCGATTACAGCGAAGCCTCGAACATTCCAAATTACAAGTCAAGTCCTCGAGCATGAAAATAATAGTATCGATTTAAGCTACGTAAAGAGCCATTCGTTATCATATAAAACGTGATTCATTGGTTGAACCGCGAAATCTTCCAAGTAATCGATTGTGCCCTCTTCAAATTGCCCTCTTTAAACGATTTTCAGTTTAAAATGTTGAGCTGAAGAGAACGTGGGGCACTGGGCTGAGCTTCTGAGAAATACCTCGGTATAGTTCTAGGTCACGTGTTCAATTCTAGGTCACGTGTTCAATTCTAGGTCACGTGTTCAAGTTACCGGTGCGGAGCGCCAACTTTTAACATATGGTACACAGATTATGTCATAGTGTATTCAGTTTTTAGATCATTCATCATATGCAAAGGTTATCGCAAGGACAAATGTTTTCAGTCGTTTGTAAGTTAATAGTTTCTCTGTAAAAGAAATCAGGACCAGATGCAGAATTCAGAATCAGGTTGTCAAATGTAAGGATATTAATGAATGAATAATATGCCGTAAGTAACTGTTTACTCCACGATTCATGTACGAAATGAACACGATAACATCTCCTGAATTAACTTCTTTATTCAGGTATTCCATCATGTGAACGAGAAAGTTTCAGCAGTCCGGCTCCGAGCGGCCAAGTTCTCTAAATCCTCCCCCGACGCTGTAGAACTGAAGATAGCAGACGAGATATTGGCTCCCAATAACGATAACAAACTGCTCAACCTCTCACAGGTTCGTTTATTTCTTTACTGTACCCTTCTAGAGAGAATAACTGTGGGGAGGTAGTTTGATGATTAGAAAATCGTGATAATAAGTTATTACCTAAAAGATGATGAGTTAATGACCCTTTATATTTGAACACAAATCCTTTATCCACTCATTGAATGGTTCCTACCTTAAAATGGAATTATCCTTTTTTGTACATGCTAATTCATGACAACCCGAAACAATTTAAATAAACTTTCAAATCGCGCGCGTAATTTTGCGCTCAACCGTCTCCACCCTGCCTCAGATATCAGAAGGATGTGTTGTAAAAGTTCGAGTGTTACCCACAGCCTCGTCCCCTGTGAAATCCTGGAACGAGGAGCTTAATACCCCTGTTAAGTTTGAGAAACAGATGCCCGGCGTTTTACTTACAACTCAGCCTAAAGTTCATCAGAACCTCCAGGTAGTTAAACCTGATGATGTAGGTTTATTTTTCTCACTGTGTGTCATTAAAAATGATAATTAAATCTTTCAAAAGTGAAACTCTTTTGTCCTAAAATGTTTGCAGCACTGTATAACTCATTTTTATAGAAATCAGGAAAACACTAATATCTTCTCCCGCAGATTTTGTCCACGATGGGTAAACCTGTCTCCCAAGCTGTACAGCGTCTCCTAAGCCAACTCCCTACCAACCCTTGCATCCAGGAAGTCCTGGAATCTCTGGAGACCAACAAGATCAAGAACACGGAGCAACTCCTTACAGAGCTTCTAACCGGACCTGTCACTAAGATCACCTACAACCTGGAGGCTATCAGTGCCAGGATTATCCCTGTGGAGAAAGACTCCTCCGACAGGCTCGCCCTTAACACCATATTCCTGAACCTTACATCGGACATCCCCGGAGCAAAGTGCGGCTCTACATGCGGTCTGGACATGTTTTACGATGTCTTTAACGTAGACTCCGGTGATGATCCCCGGTCTAGGAGACCCTCTAACATGACCCTGTCAGAGCTGTTCCTGGGGGAGGTGAAGGAGGAGTTTCTAGAGGTTTCCTTACTGGTTGTCTCCATCTTCAGGGGTCTGCTCTGTGGAATCTCCAGCCCCCTCTTCAAGCACAATACTCCTCTTAATGTCACTTATCTTAAGAAACTGACCAGGGATCAGCTCCTTGCCATGATGAAGTTCTTCACCCACACGGCCCTGTGCGGCAGCTTTGGGTCCAAACTGAAATCTAGAGGACAACCTCTACCAGCTCAGAACAGTTCTACAATAAACAGGATATCAGATCAAAACTCTTCTCTGGGATGCGAAGCATTCGAGCTGGTAATGTTAGGCGCCACCTACCACCCACAGGGTATTAGTGTGCTGTTTGATATCATGGAGTTACCTGGTGGTTACAAGAGGATGTTGCTGGATCTTCTCCTCTACACCCCCTCCGGAGAAGTAAGGTCTCTGGTCGCGTCGGAGCTGGAGAAGCTTTGTATCGCGCAGCGAGAGACATTGACCATAGATGAGCAAGATATGATGGATGTGGACAACGAAGCCGTCCCTAATGTCCATTACAAGCTCCTTCAAATCCTCCTTAAGACACCATTGCCGTTATGGGGTCCCTCCGTCCATGTTCGAGACACCCAAAAGAGACTTATGAGTCGGTGCACTCAGTTCTTCAGTTTAACCAGTTTCCTTCTGAGGGAGATGTCACTTGACAGTCAGATCTGTAGACAGCTTAGCATCAACGATCTGGTTAAGGATGAAATAAAGTTGTTGAAGACAGCTGCTAACGAGGGAAATGTCCAGCAAGCGTTCCTAGCGGGTCATCTGCGTCTCCTCTGCTCACTTGCTTCTATGAAGGGAGTCGACAAAAGACATGTCGGAAAGAAACTGATTCCCACACTTTTAGGAGACTTCCTGTTCCCTGCTGCTAACATAATGTATAAGAGCTCCGGCAGCAAGACCCGGTCTAAAGGATATAACGAAGCTCCAGTATCCATGAACAGTGAGGAGACACAATCTGCAGCCTACTCTCTGTTGGTGACACTTGTTAATGATTCTCCGGAGAACAGCAGAGATGTGACCCTGGAACTTGTCCGACTTCATCACCAGCCGAACCAGGATTTAGTTACCGAGTGGAACTACTATCCGATGGTTCAGCCTAAATCCGATTGTGGATATGTGGGACTGAAGAACGGTGGAGCAACTTGCTACATGAACGCTGTACTCCAGCAGCTCCACGCGGTCCCGGGTCTCTCTGAATCTATCTTGTGTATGCAGCCTCCCTCTCCCTCCTCCCCTTCTCGCTCCTCCCAACCTAAGTACGGTGAGGAGATGTTTCTCCAGTTCCAGCACTTGCTCGGTAACCTCAACGAGAGTCAACAAAAGTTCTACAGTCCAGAAGGGTTCTGGAAATCCTTCAAACTTTGGGGCCAGCCGATAAATCTCCATGAGCAACAAGACGCGTTTGAACTATTCAACAACCTAACAGACCAAGTGGATGACGTCCTGAAAGCTAGGGGAGAGAACAGAGTTTACCAGACGCAATTCGGGGGAGAGTTTGTCGACCAGAAGATATGTGTGGAATGTCCCCACAGATCGGAGCTCATTGAGCCGTTCATGAGTCTGAGTGTGTCCATCAGAACAGGTAACCTGGACGACAGTTTAGAACAGTTTGTCAAGGGCGAGGTGCTGGAGGGAGATAACGCGTATCTGTGCGAGGAATGCGATGAAAAGAGGACCACCCTCAAAAGAATGTGCATCAAAACCCTTCCTAACATCCTCGTCATCCACCTTAAACGTTTCGACTACGATTGGGAGAGAAACAAAGCGTTTAAATTTGATGATCACTTCAGTTTCCCAAACCAGTTAGACATGTTACCCTACACCCAGGTAGGGGTGGAAGGTACAGCTAAACAGAAGAGGGATGTAACCTCTCTGTACACGCTGTGTGGGGTCATAGTGCACTCGGGTCAGGCTAACGCAGGACATTACTACAGCTATATCAGGAAGAGAGGCACCGGGGACTGGTTCAAGTTTAATGATGATACAGTGACCCCTGTTAAGATGACGGATCAGACTATGGTTGAAGAGTGTTTTGGAGGAGAGTTCAAGTCGAAGGGATCTTCTTCAACTAGAAATCGTTATTGGAACGCTTATATTCTATTTTACGATAGGGCCAATGAAATGTGTCCACCTTCACCCTGGAAGAAGCCTCAAAAACCGATATCGCCCACAAAACGACTGAAAGCATCCCGTCTGTCACTGACCAAGCTGTCGAACATTCCTGATCACATGGAAGACAACGATCCTGTCAACGCTCTAGAGGATTTGATAAAATCTGGCGAAAAGTCTGGAATGTTCCAGGAGAAACTCCCGCCGGTCGTCAGGAACGCCATTATTGAGTCCAACACGAAACTATTGAAAGAGCGAGCCGTTTTCAACGAATCGTACTTCAACTTCGTCAGAAAGTTGGTGATAACCAACATCGCGTCCGACAACGTGAAGGACTACACTCACTGGAGCACCAAGTTGATGTGTAACTTTTACCTGCACACGTTCCTTCATGTGAGTAGTTCCTTCCAGTTCCACGAGGAAGCCTGGATGGAAACCTTCCGGATAGTCATGGAGAGCGAAATAAGTGCTGTCGCTACCTTTTTCGAGTTCATAAGCTCAACTCGTAATCACGATTATCTGACCCTCCATTTGCTGACCTGCCCAAGAAGTTATATCAGGAAGAAGTTTGCTGCCCTGATCAAAACAGCCATGGACTGTCTCCAGAAGATAGACCGGCTGATATCCCCGGTAGTAGACACGTTTATCGCGCGGTACCTGGCCCTTATATCACGTGAACTAACCGAGAATAACAAGTACTGTGAGGAGTACTTTGGAGTGCTGTACCATTATGCTAAGATATCAGGCGACACCGCTCGTCATCTCAGATCTCGGAACTTCATCGCTCTCTTCACCAGCTTCCTGGTTGGATCTGGTGTTAACAGCAACGGTACAAACGGTGATCACGTGACAAAATGGGCTTCAAGCCAGCTGCACAACTTTACATCTGGGTACCAAACACTGGGACAAATCATGTCGCACACCTCCCTCTCCCAGTACTACACCACCGAGACCAACACCCCTAACCCTCTGATCAGCACAGACTCTGAACCTGACGCTCCCGACCCCGCTCAGGGTGTCCACAATATCATGTCAGAAACTGGCATGGCGTCAAGTTTCCTGTCCCATCTGCTGGATGTGTGCCACACTGTGGGACAGAGCAGTGTGAGTAGTACCCTGTGTATCATGTGCTGGTGTAACCAGGCCCTCACTACTTGTCTCCTCAGTCAGCTGGTGTCCAGGCTAGCTGGTGTCCAGGCTCACGAGCTCAAACCCATCTTCAACCTCCTCCTCCACCTCCTAGCTCTGGAGGACCCTTATCAGTTGTTGAGAGTGGAGAACGTCATCACGGGCGAGTACGGTCTCTTGAATCTGGTGAGGCGGTCCAGTTCTGAGGACCCCAAGAGAGCGTACCAGTGTGTCAAGTTCCTGACTCAGCTGCTGAGGAGCAACCCGGCTGCTAAGGAGCACATCTTAGAACACATCACTGACTGGCAGTGGAGTGTTAACTGGCTCAGAACAGCGTTCGAGACGGAAGCTAAGAGTAGCTCTGTGAGTAATGAGTCAGCCAGCACCAAGGGGTTCCAGAGGACGGCTTCAGCCCAGGAGACCTTGAGTGATGCTACCGCTCTTCTTAACGAGTTTGAAAGTTCTCAGTGAGACTGAGTGTAGGGTTTTAGAGTTGTAACTCGTTATCAGCTCTGAAATCTCGATACAGGAGTTGAACAAAAGAAGAAGACAGATTTTATTGTGTGATACTGATAGATAATAGGTACAAAATAGTATCCCGCTGGACTTGGCGAGGATGAAATGTCAAAGGTAAAGAGACAATTATTGATATGTAGTTATTAGGGGTAAATTGATTAATATAACTTAATAAACTGGACGGTTAAATTTTTCGACTTCGAATTGAGTTGAACATTTATTAATTTTCCTACCGGGAAGGGGAATTAACTTTTATAGTAAATTATTGAATGTGGCATTGAAGACACGATTTACTTTGTTTATCGATAGCAGGATTTTATTTATTTTTGTTAATAACATTATATATGTAAGAACTTACTAAAATCAAGCGTAGAGAAGCTACGCCCGGTTCTGTATCTACTTTGAAATATCACATATTATATAATAAGTATTCACAGCTAGCCTTTATATTTTCAGGACACATGTTTGTATCAAGTTATATTGAGAACTATGTTGGGCAGAAAGAAGTTTGTTTTAAAGCACTTGACAGCTCTTAGCCAATCAGCTTACAAATAATTACGTGCAACAAATCATATTGAGCACGTGTAAAAACAAACTTTTCTCCCGCCTTTACAAGCATTTTCATATCTATAAATAGAAATATAATAGAATTTCTTACGCAACAATTCATAATTACGCATATTGTCAGGTTAGTTTCGTATCATATTTAGTCTTTTTAACCTATTATTCATTTTATTTCATTTTATAAGATTGATTTGAATTAGAAGTATACATGTTCTGTATTTAGGAAGTTATGTCGGTTAACGAATAAGTTAGGTAGTTAGTTAGTCGATTATTTAGTTAATCAATTAATTAATTAGTTAGAAGGTGCTATGCTATGTGTCTCAGCTTTTGGGGCTCTTGTGTCGTTTGTTTTAATTTTTTGTAATTAATTTGTTGTACTTAACTAGACAAATGATTTCCAATACGTTGTTTCTGTGCGATCTTTTTGGGCCTCATTAAAAATCAATCATTCTGAAAGTTTCCCAAAGTTTCCCCGACATCGATGTATGAATTTTGTCCGGCAATGAAACTAAAATAATTTTACATTTGCTTACACAAATACATTGCATTCCTTGACTGGTTCGAAATTTAAATGATGTGGAAAAAACAGACAGATTTTAAGAAATACTTTCCAATGATAACCTTCAAATTCGGTTTCTCATTCCCTCATCTCAACAGAATGTATACAGGTTTTTAATTTGATACCTCTAGCTCTAACCTTTCGAAAATATTAATAACTAGAAACTTTGCCTCAAAGCTCAAAAACTGCCCGATTTGCAGCAATCGTAATCGCTAGGTCGGGACTTAGCTTTAAGTGACTTGCCGAAAGTTTCAACCTTTAGACGATAACTCTTCAGACCATAGATTGAGCTAAGGATTTCAAAAGATTTGCTTGTTAAAATATGTTTTAGGATTAACAATTTGAGTGATTAAGTTTGATTTTGTCCAAATTTACGCTTATTTTTCTAACGATTATCATGATAAAGGTATGATTCTTACTGATAGTTTTGGGCAGTGTTCAAGAAGCCCCACAACCAAGGGTGGACATAAGGGTAGACAACTTTTGGGTTAGGGTTACTTTTTAAGGGTTAGGTTCCCTAACCGTAACCCTTACTCTAACACTAAAAATGTGTCTACCTTTATGTCCACCCTAAGTGGTTGGGCTGCTTGGATACTGCCTAGTTTTGCCTTTTGGACTGTTTTGGAATGCCACATATTACGAGAAGAATAGTTTACTGTTAACTATCAAATAAACCAACGATTGTTAAATTTTACACCATTGAAAAATATATAACGCGTATGATTTCGAATTTAGCAATAAAATGTAACCATAACATGAGAAATTGATAATTAAGGCCATCGAAAAGAATCAATCTTGCAATTTTTGCTAAAAGATAAAATCTATCAAATACTCAAATAAGAATATTAGTGTGTTCCATTTGTCCATGTTATCTATAAAAACCCTTTTAAGGATGGTTTGTTGGAGAGATCATGTTCAGTTCGTTACTCAGTTTTGAAAGTTGGCTTTGACCCTCAGGTATGGCCTAGTTCTAATTCTATACAGGGATAGCTAAACTAACTTTATTCACAATAGCTAGTTGTTGCGAGAGATTTTATATTTTTAGAAGTCATTCGATTGCGAAATAATCGGTCATACATCCGGATTCCGGATCCCGATGGTACTGTCGCAGCACTCTCGTGGCACTCTCTTGAATCTATGCTTTTCAACGAACATGATTGAAAGTTGGCACTGTGCCGCCAAAGTGCCACGACAGTGCCACTGCCATGAGAGTGCCGCGACAGTGCCATCGGGATCCGGATATATGACCAAATAATCGTAGAATATTCTTCAGTAGAGTTTCTCAAAATATACAACTAGATTTCGTTAACATTCGCATGTTGCTACTTTACTGAGTCCTGAATCCAATTCTGAATCTTTTATAGTATAATTGAACAAAATACATGAATTAGGTACTATTATATTATATTGGATTGTGATCTAGTTGGCCCTGATATCGACAATCTTGCTCATACAGCTGATAATTTCACTTACTATATGTATATTTATTCAGATCATCAATCAACTTGTGACTTTATGATTGGCAACCAGCCAACCACTGTAGCTATTGTTTCTGAGAGTAACGCGTTTACCTCTATTGGGATATCCTTCCTCTTCCAGCTCCAGGATGAGGAGATGCAGGCCCGCGCACCCCCCTTCCAGCTCCAGGATGAGGAGATGCAGGCCCGCGCACCCCTCTTCCAGCTCCAGGATGAGGAGATACAGGCCCGCGCACCCCCCTTCCAGCTCCAGAATGAGGCGATGCAGGCCCGCGCATCCCCCTTCCAGCTCCAGAATGAGGAGATGCAGGCCCGCGCATCCCCCTTCCAGCTGCAGGATTTTGTGAGACTGATCTTCCTCCTGGGCTGGCAATAGGTTGCTGGTGTCTGGGACCGGCTGATAGACTGGTCTTTTTTTCCCCCTGTGTAATATGTGCACTGTTCCTTTGTCCCTGACTCTGACTGTGGGTTCCACCCTGTGTATGTGCACTGTTCCTCTGTCCCTGACTCTGACTGTGGGTTCCACCCTGTGTATGTGCACTGTTCCTCTGTCCCTGACTCTGACTGTGGGTTCCACCCTGTGTATGTGCACTGTTCCTCTGTCCCTGACTCTGACTGTGGGTTCCACCCTGTGTATGTGCACTGTTCCTCTGTCCCTGACTCTGACTGTGGGTTCCACCCTGAGAGTTGGCACTGTAATCTCCGTACGTATCAAACTTGGACTGCTCATCTCTCTCTCTGATCTGAAACTGGACCGTTTCTCTTTTGACCACAAACCACTTGCCCAAACAGACGCCGCATCCTGCTATAAGAACAACAAACCCCACGATAAGACCTATTGTCGTCTTGGCACTCGACTTCATTTTACAATCACAAAACGCAGTCGATTCAGTTTCTTCGGGAGAATCCACCTTGTTAGTATAGCCACACGAACACTCGTTCATGAAGTCGTTTTTACATGTCTTATCAGGTTCGGGCGCCCTTGCATACATCCTTTCGCATTTTATCTCAGTTTCGTCACTGTTAATACGGCACGTGTTTATTTCCCCCCTTTTAGGACAGGTCTTTGTGAGAAGTCCCGGGTATTTACAGTATTCGTTCCAACACTTTGTAACGCTGTCGTCTGTGTCTCTCTTTTGGTCCGAGAGGTAGGTGACCAGGGTGAGGGTCATCAATGCTAACAACCACCTCATTGTTCTAGGAGATTGTAGTTTTATTAGGAATATGGTGCTACTAGACCAAGTGTAACCTTACTGTATCTTACTATATGTAAAGCGAGCCTGATATACAAAGCGATCTTACTGATATATAAAGCGAGACGATGTATATTTTACTGACACCATGACATCAACTTTAACACAATATTCCGCATAAGCCGTGACGGATAAACAATCGAAACTTTTTGGCTGGGCCGAATGTTTTTATTGCCTTTTGACCAGTATGCAGAAATACAAAATTGGCCAAGGAATAAGAATTTTAGGTCCCGAAATTTGGATTCCCAAGTGGTGTCAAAATCACAAAATACTAATAGACAAATGTTGTTTTATTTTGACACCATTTTAGTTGTCATACGTTGTATGACCCGCCGCGCACGAAGTGCGCGGCTCCCCCTGTATCGTCAGGACGATAAATACTAAATAGTGAAACGACCGTGGGGGTCGCAACGTGATACAACATTTTAGGGTTTGACTGGTTTCTGCTTGGAGCTAAGAGGTGACTGCGACATAAGGCTGGCTTCGTTTAATATAAGTACCCAAAAGCGAAAGTGGAATAGCAATGTGTCAACGCTTCTTGCTTTAACTCCTTGAACAGGACTCTTTAAAGCTTTCGAAAAATTGAATATTAGTATTACAATGTTAATCCCAAGTTTCAACTGAAAACTTTTAGAAATGCTGAAAAAAGCTGGAGGTCGCAACATTTATATTCACGATGGTGCTGAATGATGTAATGATATTGGCGATGTTTTCAATTTAAAATGTCGATAAGAAACAACAAAGGTCTCGGAATTCTAAGGAAATTGAGGCTGGTCGGAAAAAGGTTGCAAGTTATCCACAATCACTATATTATTGGGCTATTATTAGAACAATGGCCCGGCAATGATATGAAAAGAAAGAATTTATCTCTGCAAGGAATGATGGTAATAATCCCAAATGCATAAGTACACATTAGCCTGGTAGTCGCAAATAAACATTTTGGCTATTGATAAATTTTCATTACTATTAGCGCATGCCTGATGCCCACATCCAGAAACACGCTATCTTGCAAGGCAGCCTGGGAGGAAATTTTTTTTTTGGGAGGAAAAACGGGAGAAAAAGAGGAAATTTTTGAGAAGTTACTCCTAAATTTCGAAATATTTTTTTGGAATAAAGACAAATTAATTGAGGAAATTTTGAAGAAAATTTTTCGATTGTATAAAAATCAAAGAGGAACATCCTGTCAGTTTTGGAACACAGTGAAATATTCTGATTGGAGAATGCAGATTGCTGTTGTGAAGTTACCAAATTTACGTGAGTACTTGATTCTTTTCAATCCCAGTTTATTGCTGTCCTACAAATTTCTTTAATGCCAAATGCCATCTAAAAGACCCTATTTCGCAAAAAATTTCCGGGAGGCTGCGCCCCCTAGCCCCCGCCAAGGGGCTCCGCCCCTGGACCCCGCTGGGGGCTGCGCCCCCAGACCCTTGCCACAGCTTGCTCGCTTCGATCGCTGCGCAGTTGGATTGGACACGTCGACTCGCTTCGCTCGCCGACAGCCCCCTCCCCAAACTTGCGAGCGAAGCGAGCGGGCCACAGAATTTAGAAAAAAACGCATCTGGGAGGAAATATAAAACTTTCTGGATGTGGGGCCTGATGAGAATTGCCCAAAATAATGCTTACGTAACCCCGTCTGTATGGCCTTTGTCCAAGTTGGCAAGTTCCATTCCAGCAGATAGAGAATATGGATGGTAGCATTTGATCCTTTTGCAGGTTTTTGGTCTCGAAGCTTAGTTCCCCATGGTGTATAGGACGTGCCCAGTTGACCCTCTTTTGGTAGAATGTTCCATAGCCTATCATACTTAACCAAAGATGAATTTTCATAACTGTGTTAACATGGGTACAATGGAACGGTCTAATACACCGGAGAAAGGAGTTACTGTGTGGTGCAGGCCACTCCAACGACTAGGAGGAGACCTTTTCAAGTGAGTAAGTAAGTAAGTAAGTGTTAACATGGAATGCTGACACTTCATGATGAGGGGAGGTACAATTACCCAGATAGCTGCTCTGTGTTCTCTCACTGTTTTGTGTCTGAGACGAGGATTGCGTCACAATATTATTCGGTTTCCTGAATGATAAATTTCCAGACCGCACGTGCAGGGTATTATCAATTATAATTATTCGGTTTATTTGAATTGAAGCGTTCAGCTGCTTCCCCGGGTGAGTCCACTCGATAACTTTCCATATATCTCACTATCGCCTGAAAAGCTACACAGTTTATTCTAAAGAAAACTTCAACGAAAGAAATAACACGTAAATCCCTTATTATTACCCCTCATAAATTTAACCAAGTTTGGAATTAACGCTTTAAATAACGGCCTTAATTTTTTTTTTGGGAAAATATACAAAATACTATTAAACTTTTACATAATACAAATAATATCATCCGGAGACAAACAAACAGTCCATAGGACTGTACAATAATTATGGGTTGTGAAGAACATTACCAAATTCTGAAATTAAGACAAAATTCAAACGATTGTCTAGATCTACAAACCTGTTTTTAAATTTTGTAATTACTCAGAAGTTAAGTTATGACCCGGTGAAAATTGAAAAATTTTAATTTCATTGTAATTTTATGATTACAAAATTTATTGTAAATTTGTTGTATTTCAATGTTATGTAATGGAGGCTACAATATATGAAGTAGTTGTTTTAATTCTAAATAAACTTCCAAACTCTGACACCCTGCTGTATCAACATATCAGCGTACAACATTTTAAACGTCTTATAGTACATCCTACCTACCTATCTTAAGTTAAGTCCTTTCTCTTCTGTTCTGCTTATCAATGCAACATAAACTTGTCATTGGTTTCACATTACAGTTCTTGTAGTTGTATCACATCAGCTTTAGTTCATCATGTAGTACATCTTATAGTACATATTGGCATCTCATAGTGTAGTACATCCTAAAGTACATCCTACCTGTACATTAACGTGTGTCTAGCATATACCGATTATCATGTACAATAACAGACTCCTCCCATATTTAACTAACATCAGTTAAACGTCTTTACATTGCTTATTCTGTACGTGTGTCACTGAAGTTATAGTGTGTACAGATCTTTGTCATTTGTCTGCTTTTTATGCTTCATAACTGTTATTTTCAGTGCATGCTCTAGTTTGTGTTGACTTTATACGTAGAATGTATTCTGTGTAGTTAAAGCTCATGCCTTCATTGTTTGCAACATTGTACAGTGCTTTGTACATTGTACAATGTACATTATACATTGTATATTGACTGGAGGTGCAGTGTACATTAAATCACAAATAATATATCCCTTTACAGTGTAACTGGTATCAGCAGGTATCTTAATCTAATACATTGTAACGTATATCTAATATCTATACTATACTTTAAACTTACCGAAATCTCCCCAGCTACGGCGTAAAAACACAAAACATTTTTACCCTCATCATAGTAGAGTTATAGAAATAAAGCATTACCATAAAAACTTGCAAAAGTTGGAATTCACGATGTATGGCGCATTGTTTATTTACGATATATAGTATTAGATATTCAGTACATTTGCGTTTTCGATCTTATTATTTACATAGGACTGTGGGATGGGGTCCCGGGTCACGTGATCGTGTGTCAAGTTCATGGCAACATAACGTCTGCCTTTTATTTGCTGTCTGCTCGATCTTTCAATTATTTCTATTATCCGAAAAATAAAAAGATACACTGCAAATTTGGTCTTTTAATGATCAAATTATTCTTGGATTTAGTTCACGTGAATAAATCACGTTGTTCGTACCCGTAATATCTTAGTTTCGTACCCGTTATCTTAGTTTCGTACCCGTTATCTTAGTTTCGTACCCGTTATCTTAGTTTCGTACCCGTTATCTTAGTTTCGTACCCGTTATCTTAGTTTCGTACCCGTTATCTCAGTTTCGTACCCGTTATCTCAGTTTCGTACCCGTTATCTCAGTTTCGTACCTGTTATCTTAGTTTCGTACCCGTTATCATAGTTTCGTACCTGTTATCTTAGTTTCGTACCCGTTATCTTAGTTTCGTACCCGTTATCTTAGTTTCCGCTTTTATATTGTATTTGTAATAGTGTATTGTAATCTACATGTAAATTGTAATGACCAGATCTTGACTATGTTATTGTGGCCACTCAATATTTGTTAACAGTATGTACTTTGCCTAGGCAACGAAGTACACATTGTACTTTCATTATTCGATAAGCGATTCACTGCTATTAATGCAAATGGTCCTGAGTGCGCATATTGTCTATTATGGTCTATTAAAGTATTAATATGGTATAGTTATAGTTTTGAAAGTTTGAATTTTGAAGTGTAGGATTGTTCCAGCACACAGACCGTCGTTTATTTTAAATTTTGAAGTACGTGTACCGTAGTACAGGAAATAACTTATCACCAGAAAAGTGCTCCAGATCTCATCAAACTTATCTTATCTTATCGGAACTCTTCTTAGTTATTTTTGCTCGCGCCTGTTTAAGGACGCCTCCTACAGCCTTTTATTGTACACACTTTTTCCGTCCGACAAGAAATCAATCCGATGGGCAGTGGGCAACGGAGAATTGTCACATAAACTGCACCAGATTTGAGATATATAATTTATAAACAAAGCATATGAAATCTCACTAATCTCTGATCACACATGTCCCAGATAAGAGATAAAAACAGCACCTGAGATACTATGTCGGGTCTATCCTACTTCTCGTCGCTTGAGGAGGTGTCCCAAACTTCTGATGCTGAACTTAGGGATGGTATAGGTTTCTTGGCCCCTGATATCGTCATAGGTATAGATATATTTTATATTTATATAGAATATAAATATATAATATCTTTATAAAAGATATTATCCATATTGTAGTGTTCTCTCTTTTAATTTGGTTATATAATATGTGAGACAGTGACTAATACAAACGTGGTCTTTAATTAATCAGATAATATTTCAAATAACTTTATTAATAACATAACTTAACAAATAACTAAAACAGAGTACGTGTTCCAACTACGGAAGGAACTGAGGGAGTGCCAAGAGGGTAAAACTACTGCTGAGGAGGAGGTTACAAGACTACTTGGGGTGTCAGCTGGTCTAGGGGATACTCTACACTCAGGAAGTATGTTTTACAGGTCACGGGGTGCCCCAAGAACCTTATCTTAAATCTAACTCTAACCTAAACCTTAACAACACTTCCACAACATTTCACACTCTTAAAATCTGTAGTGTATGGAGGGTTTCAGTATTTCTTACCTTCATTTCATTTACAATTATATAGATATAATTATTCAGTCAACCATTACTTAAACTCTTACTTTCCCAGTGATGAACACGAGCATACATGACGCTCCCCCAACTGCTCCCCCTCTTTACAACTTTGCGTCCCAACCTCCACCACTTTCTGGTACCATGTTCCCACCCCAACCTCTCACCCCTCAACAATATCACACTAGTCCCTCAGTGGCCAGCTTCCCTGAAGTTGCAGGGAGTGTGTGGACGTGGGCCCACGATGGGACCAAACCTAACGGTATTACAGAGTTCCTACCTGATGGTGGTACAAAGTGGTTCAATGGGGCAAGGCAAGGTCATTGGAAGTTAAAGGAGGGTGGAACTGTGTTGGAAACTAGTTTTAATGGAGTCCACCATGAGCTGGTATATGTTGCTAGTGAGAAGAAAGCAGTGCTAAGATCTCCGGAGAGGTCACCGTCCAGTCAAATGTGGATCCAGGGTGATCGAGGTCGGTTATTACTTTTTGATTTCAAGATTTTACTTTCTAAAATCTGAAAGCACAACCTCATCCTCTACAACAACACCTTCAAACTCGTCTAGCACAACAACACTATCGAGTTCATCTAGCACCACATCTTAATCTACCCAAAATATGTACAATGATAAAGAAAGTTCATGGATTATTTCTTTGATTATGCCGTCAAACTTTAATGTTAATACCCGAACTTCAACTATCAGACAGGTTACCATTCGGAGGAAACTTCTCCTCAACCAGAGTATCCTTACGAGGCCACCACCAGAAATATGTTCGAGCACTCTCTAATGGTGGTGTTGACTGCCAGATAACTGGTGTGACTGAGGCGGCTGTGTGCGAGGTGGTTCAAGTTAAACCCGATACTGTTGCTTTTAGGTCACATTACGGGAAGTATCTCTCAGGTACGTCTGCGCAGTGTTTCTTTTCATGTTCAATGTTTGTTTATTTTATTCTGTGACTGCTGTTGAAGACTGGTGCTTCTAAAATCTACAAACTGTACAGTGTGAGCACTGTTGAACTTTTAAAAAGTGCACTTTTTTCATAGTTGAAACTGTACAACCAGTTCTAACTTCTAATACATAATAGTAACTCTGTCGAAAATCCTCAGCACAAAGTTTAACCCTATCCCCAAACCCACAAAATGTATGTATTGGTTGGCTAATGATTGAAAGTCCGCTACTAAAGAAACTTTATAATCGTGAACCCTTTCAGCTCAGCCAAATGGAACCCTTGAATGGAACAGAGGAGGAAGCCCCAATATTTGGGAGTTTTTCCACGTTGGTAGAGTGGCTGATGGAAGGATAACATTACTCTCATACCACGGTAAATACGTGTCAGCTCAACCTGATGGGAGGATTGAAGTTAACAGAGAAGGAGCTGCTGCTTGGGAGCATTTTAGTGTGACAGAGGGTCCCAGTGCGGCAGCCTGTGCGGCAGCCTGTGCGGCAGCCTCAGCTGACTCTCCTGACCACGCAGACTCTGTAACGGGTAAAGTCTTCCTGCAAGGTCACCACGGTTACTTCGTTAGTGCCAATGCAACCTGCCAAGTAAATGACTGCGGCAGTTCGGAGACGATTGATGTGATAAAGATTAGTCCAAATGTTGTCGCTTTCAGGTCCTACTTTGGGAAATATCTTTCAGGTAATAAGCTTGTCAACTGGAAATCGTTTCGATTCACCAATTGATTTCATATGGCCTTTCTGGCACAGATACTGATAGTGTTCAATTTCCACGACATATCTGATATCTATAACGAACTATATTTGTATTAGTTTTCGACGGTATGAAAATTGGCCAATAAAATATTGCTGAATCTCTCCTAAACTTTGCAATTTCAGCCCAAAAAAACGGCTCTCTGCAATGGAACAGGGACAGTGCCAAAGATTGGGAACAATTCACCGTGAACAAAGTTAACGGAAAATACACATTCCGATCATCGCACAACAAGTTCATTTCTGCGCAGCCTAAAGGAGGGTTAGAGGTAAAGAACAGCTTAAATTCTTTCAACACAACTATAGTTTATTTAGTTTAGTTATTTTTTTACCAATATTTGTTTTGCCTGGCTGTCTCGGGAAATTCAAGATTTTTTTTTTCAGGTTGACAGGAACAATGAGGATATTTGGGAACAATTCAAAGTTATTCACAAAAATACTCGAACTGTAAAGCCTGCGCCTGTTTGCTTAGATCCGTTTCCTGGCAACATAGCAGGGAGTGTGTGGACGTGGGCCCACGATGGGACTAAACCTAACGGTATTATAGAGTTCTTACCTGATGGTGGTACAAAGTGGTTCAATGGGGCAAGGCAAGGTCATTGGAAGTTAAAGGAGGGTGGAACTGTGTTGGAAACTAACTTTAATGGAGTCCACCATGAGCTGGTATATGTTGCTAGTGAGAAGAAAGCAGTGCTAAGATCTCCGGAGAGGTCACCGTCCAGTCAAATGTGGATCCAGGGTGATAGAGGTCAGTGAATTTCCTTTCCATAACACTCTCATTTATTTGTTATCAAACCTCTTCTCAGGTGCCTTTGCATTCTTTACGTGCCATTAATAAATTCTTTGCCATTTTGATATAGCAAATTTCTTAGCAACTTTCTATTCTGAGCACAGTATCATACTATATAGCTAATATCGGTGCGATGAAGGAAAGAATGTAGCATGAATTTTTTGTAGAGTTCAACCGTCAACGATATAATTGTCCGCACTATCACACTGTGTCACCCCGTATAAAAACTGAACCTTGAATTGAATCGGTAATTCTTATCATGTTTATTGAGGTTGAGATTTTAGGTTCACTCAAACTCCGGTCTTTAAAACTGTTAGTATTGGGTATGAGAGACTACACTATTAAGAATATTTCAGTTTAAACGCGCGTGCAAAGTATAAAAACCAACCCGTCATTATGACAAGTATTCATCCAAGGTCACAACGGTTTATTCGTCAGTGCCACCACGATCGTCAAATGTATTTCTTGAGCTTGTTTTAGTTGACGTTTCACCAACGTGTAGCAAGAGGTATACAACGTGTAGCAAGAGGTATACAACGTGTAGCAAGAGGTAAACAACGCGTAGCAAGATGTATACAACGTGTAGCAAGAGATATACAACGTGTAGCAAGAGGTATACAACGTGTAGCAAGAGGTATACAACGTGTAGGAAAAGGTATACAACGTGTAGGAAAAGGTATACAACGTGTAGCAAGAGGTATACAACGTGTAGCAAAAATTATACAACGTGTAGCAAAAGGTATACAACGTGTAGCAAGAGGTATACAACGTGTAGCAAGAGGTATACGATGTTTAGCAAGAGGTATACAACGTGTAGCAAGCAAGAGGTATACAACGTGTAGCAAGAGGTATACAACGTGTAGCAAGAGGTATACAACGTGTAGCAAGAGGTAAACAACGCGTAGCAAGATGTATACAACGTGTAGCAAGAGATATACAACGTGTAGCAAGAGGTATACAACGTGTAGCAAGAGGTATACAACGTGTAGGAAAAGGTATACAACGTGTAGGAAAAGGTATACAACGTGTAGCAAGAGGTATACAACGTGTAGCAAAAATTATACAACGTGTAGCAAAAGGTATACAACGTGTAGCAAGAGGTATACAACGTGTAGCAAGAGGTATACGATGTTTAGCAAGAGGTATACAACGTGTAGCAAGAGGTATACAACGTGTAGCAAGAGGTATACAACGTGTAGCAAGAGGTATACAACGTGTAGCAAGAGGTGTACAACGTGTAGCAAGAAGTATACAACGTGTAGCAAGAGATATACAACGTGTAGCAAGAGGTATACAACGTGTAGCAAGAGGTATACAACGTTAAGCAAGAGGTATACAACGTGTAGCAAGAGGTATACAACGTGTAGCAAGAGGTATACAACGTGTAGCAAGAGGTATACAATGTTTAGCAAGAGGTATACAACGTGTAGCAAGAGGTATACAACGTGTAGCAAGAGGTATACAACGTGTAGCAAGAGGTATACAACGTGTAGCAAAAATTATACAACGTGTAGCAAAAGGTATACAACGTGTAGCAAGAGGTATACAATGTTTAGCAAGAGGTATACAACGTGTAGCAAGAGGTATACAGCGTGTAGCAAGAGGTATACAACGTGTAGCAAGAGGTATACAACGTGTAGCAAAAATTATACAACGTGTAGCAAAAGGTATACAACGTGTAGCAAGAGGTATACAACGTGTAGCAAGAGGTAAACAATGTTTAGCAAGAGGTATACAACGTGTAGCAAGAGGTATACAACGTGTAGCAAGAGGTATACAACGTGTAGCAAAAGTTATACAACGTGTAGCAAAATGTATACAACGTGTAGCAAGAGGTATACAACGTGTAGCAAGAGGTATACAACGTGTAGCAAGAGGTATACAACGTGTAGCAAGAGGTATACAACGTATAGCAAGGGGTATACAACGTGTAGCAAGAGGTATACAACGTGTAGCAAGACGTATACAACGTGTAGCAAGAGGTATACAACGTGTAACAAGAGGTATACAACGTGTAGGAAAAGGTATACAACGTGTAGCAAGATGTATACAACGTGTAGCAAGAGGTGTACAACGTGTAGCAAGAGGTATACAACGTGTAGCAAGAGATATACAACGTGTAGCAAGAGGTATACAACGTGTAGCAAGAGGTATACAACGTGTAGCAAGAGGTATTCAACGTGTAGCAAGATGTATACAACGTGTAGCAAGAGGTATACAACGTGTAGCAAGAGATATACAACGTGTAGCAAGAGGTATACAACGTTAAGCAAGAGGTATACAACGTTAAGCAAGAGGTATACAACGTGTAGCAAGAGGTATACAACGTTAAGCAAGAGGTATACAACGTGTAGCAAGAGGTATACAACGTGTAGCAAGAGGTGTACAACGTGTAGCAAGAGATTTACAACGTGTATCAAGAGGTATACAACGTGTAGCAAGAGGTGTACAACGTGTAGCAAGAGGTGTACAACGTGTAGCAAGAGGTATACAACGTGTAGCAAGAGATATACAACGTGTAGCAAGAGGTATACAACGTGTAGCAAGAGGTATACAACGTGTAGCAAGAGGTATACAACGTGTAGCAAGAGGTATACAACGTGTAGCAAGAGGTATACAACGTGTAGCAAGAGGTATACAACGTGTAGCAAGAGGTATACAACGTGTAGCAAGAGGTATAGAACGTGTAGCAAGAGGTATAGAACGTGTAGCAAGAGGTATACAACGTGTAGCAAGAGGTATACAACGTGTAGCAAAAGTTATACAACGTGTAGCAAAAGGTATACAACGTGTAGCAAGAGGTATACAACGTGTAGCAAGAGGTATACAACGTGTAGCAAGAGGTATACAACGTGTAGCAAGAGGTATACAACGTGTAGCAAGATGTATACAACGTGTAGCAAGAGATATACAACGTGTAGCAAGAGGTATACAACGTGTAGCAAGAGGTATACAACGTGTAGCAAGAGGTGTACAACGTGTAGCAAGAGGTATACAACGTGTAGCAAGAGATATACAACGTGTAGCAAGAGGTATACAACGTGTAGCAAGAGGTATACAACGTTAAGCAAGAGGTATACAACGTGTAGCAAGAGGTATACAACGTGTAGCAAGAGGTATACAACGTGTAGCAAGAGGTATACAATGTTTAGCAAGAGGTATACAACGTGTAGCAAGAGGTATACAACGTGTAGCAAGAGGTATACAACGTGTAGCAAGAGGTATATAACGTGTAGCAAAAATTATACAACGTGTAGCAAAAGGTATACAACGTGTAGCAAGAGGTATACAACGTGTAGTAAGAGGTATACAATGTTTAGCAAGAGGTATACAACGTGTAGCAAGAGGTATACAACGTGTAGCAAGAGGTATACAACGTGTAGCAAGAGGTATACAACGTGTAGCAAAAGTTATACAACGTGTAGCAAAAGGTATACAACGTGTAGCAAGAGGTATACAACGTGTAGCAAGAGATATACAACGTGTAGCAAGAGGTATACAACGTGTAGCAAGAGGTATACAACGTTAAGCAAGAGGTATACAACGTGTAGCAAGAGGTATACAACGTGTAGCAAGAGGTATACAACGTGTAGCAAGAGGTATACAACGTGTAGCAAGAGGTATACAATGTTTAGCAAGAGGTATACAACGTGTAGCAAGAGGTATACAACGTGTAGCAAGAGGTATACAACGTGTAGCAAAAATTATACAACGTGTAGCAAAAGGTATACAACGTATAGCAAGAGGTATACAATGTGTAGCAAGAGGTATACAATGTTTAGCAAGAGGTATACAACGTGTAGCAAGAGGTATACAACGTGTAGCAAGAGGTATACAACGTGTAGCAAGAGGTATACAACGTGTAGCAAAAGTTATACAACGTGTAGCAAAAGTTATACAACGTGTAGCAAAAGGTATACAACGTGTAGCAAGAGGTATACAACGTGTAGCAAGAGGTATACAACGTGTAGCAAGAGGTATACAACGTGTAGCAAGAGGTATACAACGTGTAGCAAGAGGTATACAACGTGTAGCAAGAGGTATACAACGTGTAGCAAGATGTATACAACGTGTAGCAAGAGATATACAACGTGTAGCAAGAGGTATACAACGTGTAGCAAGAGGTATACAACGTGTAGGAAAATGTATACAACGTGTAGCAAGAGGTATACAACGTGTAGCAAGAGGTCTACAATGTTTAGCAAGAGGTGTACAACGTGTAGCAAGAGATATACAACGTGTATCAAGAGGTGTACAACGTGTAGCAAGAGATATACAACGTGTAGCAAGAGGTATACAACGTGTAGCAAGAGGTATACAACGTGTAGCAAGAGGTGTACAACGTGTAGCAAGAGGTATACAACGTGTAGCAAGAGGTGTACAACGTGTAGCAAGAGGTATACAACGTGTAGCAAGAGATATACAACGTGTAGCAAGAGGTATACAACGTGTAGCAAGAGGTATATAACGTTAAGCAAGAGGTATACAACGTGTAGCAAGAGGTATACAACGTGTAGCAAGAGGTAGACAACGTGTAGCAAGAGGTATACAACGTGTAGCAAGAGGTATACAACGTGTAGCAAGAGGTATACAACGTGTAGCAAGAGGTATACAACGTGTAGCAAAAGGTATACAACGTGTAGCAAAAGGTATACAACGTGTAGCAAGAGGTATACAACGTGTAGCAAGAGGTATACAACATGTAGCAAGAGGTATACAACGTGTAGCAAGAGGTATACAATGTTTAGCAAGAGGTATACAACGTGTAGCAAGAGGTATACAACGTGTAGCAAAAGTTATACAATGTGTAGCAAAAGGTATACAACGTGTAGCAAGAGGTATACAACGTGTAGCAAGAGGTATACAACGTGTAGCAAGAGGTATACAATGTTTAGCAAGAGGTATACAACGTGTAGCAAAAGTTATACATTATACAACGTGTAGCAAGAGGTATACAACGTGTAGCAAAAGTTATACATTATACAACGTGTAGCAAGAGATATACAACGCTGTAGCAATTTTCAAAACGTTTAGCAAGTTTCACAACGTGTAGCAAGAGATTTACAACGTGTAGCAAGTTTCACCCGAATAAATACCTTCAGAAGGAGGGTTTATGCCTGAGGAAGGTGCTGAATATGCGATAGAAGCAATAGATGGTCCAGCAGCTGGATACGCTCTAACTTACAACTCTGATAGAAGAAACAACAGTTCATACTGGGTCCACACTCAGCCAACATACCGTCAAGATAAACATGATAAGTGGAGAATAATGTACACTACCGTTAACTCTGAACCTTGCTACAAGATCGAAGTTCTGCACGGTGAGTGCATCGTTTGTACTTATATTGTTCAATTTTATATGCGAATTGAATCATTCTTTATAGATTATAGAACACTAAACAGGGTCTCATGAACATTTAAATTAAACAACAGTAAGGTAATGGTATAGGCAAACACTGATTTATCGCAAACCCCGATTTATAACCGCGACTGTTTCCCTTCCCCAAACTACTGTAGTCGACAGCGACTTCTGATAAACATATAAAAGTACTCTTCTTTGTAGGTACAAATAGTGGTAGAATGCTAGTGGTACACAGTGATACACACGGTAAGGACGGACGAGCACTAGTGCATAAAACCCCACACAGAGAAACAGATGAATGTTGGATGATTGAACCTGTTACCCAGGATAACGTTACTGTCGGCTACAAACTAAGAAAATCTCAAGACAGGCACAGGAACAAATATCTGGTGTCAAGAAGACTGCGGGGTGATGGAACCTGGTGGGTTGATGTCACAGATAAAGGGGTCGGAGCTGAAGACTTTTTGTGGAGAATAACCAAGTGTTGAATGTGCATTGTGTAAGGAAATGTGGAATATGTCATCTGATTTATGTTTGCTGTCCGTTAGTTTAATTTCAACAATTCTTTAAGTTAGATCTTACTCAAGGAAGATCGCAATCCGGATTTTTGAGAAATAAAACGAATTTTTTTGTTATGTAATGTGGAGGCAGCTGCCAATAATTCAGGGCAGTATTTGTAGATTTAGAGGCTAGAGCATATTATCATATGTATTTTATTTTTAATTGTAGTTACAGTCGATTGAATTTGCAGCGTATAAAATAATGTTCAGCAGTAAATAATAACAATTATTGTGTAACGTTTACGATCCTTTTATTGATTTTATTGATTATTATAACATTATCAAACGCATTTTATTTAGTTCAATGAAGTTAAGTTGTAGATAGTAGTAAGGTAGAATATAATAGAATTGGATATCACTACATTTACTTGTAAGTGTTGCTTGTTGGTATTTTAACGCAGCAACTCGGCAAGGTTTTGCTAACGAATCCGCGGCTTTCGTTACCTAAAATGAGGATCGCGACGTGAGACAAATCAAACGCACTGTATTAATTTTTTCAAGAATAATCATGTTTGTGTCACAAAGTTTAACAGCAATTTCAACATTACTTACTTTTTTTTACTTTGGGCGATCCTCAATCGAAATCCCATTCACTGTCTGCCTCCACACGTCTCGATCGCACATAACAGTTCGAAGGTCGTCTAACTGGAGCCCAGTGTCACGAGCTACTACGTCCAGGAAGGTGAGTGGTCTCCTTCCACGGCCCGATTGGGCAAGTCGCCAGGGGAGGATAGTGGAGATAACTTGGTCAGAAGCTCTCATGCAATGCCCAGCAAATCTGGAACGCCTCGACGCAACCACTGAGGCAATAGATGGAAGGTTGCCATAGATCTGCTTGAGGGTTGGATGCTTCTTCCACGAGATGTTCTTGGCCTTCATTAAAAGACGGGTGTAGCATCCGTTGAGGCGTTTCTCAAGCTGCTTGTTTATGGTCCATGTCTCTGATCCATAGAGCAATACTGGTTCGACACAGGCTCTAAAGAACTTGACTTTCAGTTGTTCGGAAATGCCAGAGGACCAGACTTTTTGCAGTTTAATACAGGCTGACCAGGCCATTCCTTTCAACATTAAAACATATAATTATAAATTTAACTGAAATAAAATTAAAAAAGCTGACATCACTCATTTTAATTCATAATCAACTCTTTCAAAAATAGCATTTACCCATGATCATGATAGTAAGGTTACTGTTAGTCGAATAATTGTGTGTGGTACAGTACTTTAAGTTTATCCGTCGCTGTCCTTTAAATATCTGTTGGCTTTCTAAATTATAACCCTGCTGGTTACTTTATAACCCTGTAGCTGATAAACAATACCTATTTAAGTGAAAGTGTTACTACTGTTACTACTATTGTGTAAGTTCGGTTGCACGGCTCAAGATTTCGCATGTTAATTGATTGGAGCCGCGCAACTTGACCGACCTCAGATCTTACTAATAACTTAATATAACAATCAGCAGCATTTAAAATAATAAAATGTGTTTCACTAGGTGAATCACCGTTCGGCCAACAAAGTTTCCCAACATTTGAAGTAGCTATACGTGGACACCACAACGGTTTTCTTCAGGCTTTCTCTGATGGTAGGGTGGATAGTAGTCAAGAAGAAATAAAGAATGATACTATCTGTCGCGTGGTTCAAGTTAAACCTGATACCGTGGCTTTTTACTCTCGATATGGGAAATTTCTGTCAGGTAGGGTTAACCCTTAATTTCTCCAATTTTTCTTAGCAATGTGTGGTTTGCTTATGTTTCCAATTTTCATATCAGTACTCCACCGTAAGCTCTAATTCAACACCCACAAGACATTTTATATCGACTGGTATGATTGCATACGCCGGCTACCCTTTTTTTTTTTTTTTTTTTTTTTTAAGAGAGGCTGGGCATAGAAAGCCCACTAGAGGATAGCATTAAGATGCTTTGCCTACCTCTGGGATGAGGGGGGGTTTATTGGAGACAACAGTGTGAATTGTGGAGGACGGTGGTGGTAATGATCTGAATGGGAATACCGCGCTTTGGTACCAGATGAGTTTATAGATCAGTTAGGCAAGGCTGCAAATGTGATGTGTTAATGCGCTAAGTTACGCCAGTCTGATCCAGTTCTTCTGGTACTATTAAGCGTTTGGTGCGGTTTGTGAAGTTGACGATTGTGGTAATGTGGTGGTTGTCGAATATGTCGTTGACCGAGAGGTAGTAGTCCCGAAAGTATTGACCTCTTAGTTGGGCAATAGCTGGGCACTGTCCAAGAAAGTGTGAGACAGTTTCCTCTCCGTCACCGCACATAGGACAAGCACTGGTGCTAGATTTGCGGATGGTGTGAAGGTGTTTGTTTAAGCCACAGTGGCCCGTGATTAGGTGGACTGCGGTTCTATAGTCTTGTCTATTGTTGATGAGTGACGTGTTTATATTATTGATTATTTTGGTGTGCTTTTGGCCAAGGTTAGTTTGGTGTGTCTAGGACCATCCGTTAACCAGATATCCTGATTCAGTCTGTGGACTTTGTTGTTGATTTGTCGTTTGATGTAAGATTGAGGGATTGGGCATTTCAAAACGTGTTCGCTGGTCGTGCCAAGCTTGGCCAGCTCATCCGCTTTTTCATTTCCCCACAACCCAATATGGGCTGCGATCCACCGGCTACCCTGTTCCCGATAATTAGATATGAGTCCTGTCAGTGTCAGGAAATAATTAAGATGCCTCATCTTATTCAGAGATGAGGCATCTTTATCACTATCAGCGTGCACAAACAACAAAAGCTGAAACTAATTGGTAATTCTAGTAGTAATTAAAATGTGAGTGTTTGTTTGTTTGTTTGGGGACCGGTTTTTTGGTACACCGGCCAATGTTTACAAAATCATATGATACATAACAATATAATTGTATTTAATATACGTGAATATTAGAATAGAAATGAAATCTTAAATTTCTATTTATTCCCTGAAATTGCTACTAAGTTCAAAATAAATTTATATGATGAAGTCTACTATAAGAATATATATGAAAGTCAGACCTGCTTCGCGAAAACTAACAGTTCTGTGTGCTAACAGATCCTGACTGATACTAATTTACACTAACTAACTAAGTAACTAATACTCTTAACTACCTAAAAACCAGCTAGCTAGCGTGTGTGCTCGTAGAGCAGCTTAAATAATAAAATATGAGCCACAGTTCATGCTGCTTAAATCTCCTCACAAAATACTGCATCGTAAAAAAACTCGTTAAAAACGGTTTATAGAATACAACGGCCACCACTTACACCAAATTATAAATACATACTATGTAAAAACTACACTGAATCACCACGTAGATAACGAAAGTGAACATAACTTATTAAAGTTCATAAATTCTGATAACAAGTCAGTGTACTTGTAGATAAGGCTCTAGCTCTCACTAACACAATTAACTTTATTGTCTCTGATAAAATAACGCTTGCTATTGTCCTGCTTTATAAGTTCTTTCATCTGTTTGACAAGTCCACTGTGTAGCATTCTCTGCTCCCTTGTCCTATCCGGTGCAAGATAAACTGACTTAAAATCATCATTTGTTTTAAGTTTGTGTGCATTCCTTAGTATAATGTCCACATCGCTAGAGCTTTGTAACTGAACTTTGACTGGTCGCGTTTTCTCAGGAACTTTCTTCCCAATCCTGCATATCTCATCCGTGTCAGGAAAATGACAGCCAGCCTCAGCAAAAACTGACTTGAAAAAGTCCGGGAGAGGGTCCATCTCTAATACGTCCTCCCACTCCCCTTCTTCCGTCTCCTTCAAACCGTAGATAATCAAGTTTCTCGATCTTTCTTCTTCTTTATTCACTGATCGCACGGCTTCTTTCACAGTTTTTGTTGTCAGCTGATTGTTTAGGACGCTGTTCTTCTTGACGACATCTGCCCAACTTCTCATTTCATTCTTTACAGTTTTCTGCACCGATTCGATCTGATTCTGCTGTCTGTTTATCAGCTGCTTTTGCATGTCTATCTGTTCTGTTTTCATCTGATCTATCTTGCTGGCTGCAGACCTGCATAGCTTCATATTGCTGTCCATTAAATTTACTATGCTGCTGAGGAAATTTACAAGCGGACCCTTAAGCAGTTTTTGTAGAACACCCTGGTTGATATCAGAGAAGGACGAGACATTCACGGCTTTCATGAGCTTTCCAATCTCCGATTGCATATCCTTTTCCACTGTGTGTAGTAAGTCCACAGAGAAATTCATCAGGTTAGCGTGGTGTGTAACACTTGCAGATAACGACTGCTGATAACAAGCTAAAAACGATACAAATGCTAAGTGGTTTACTGCTTACTGATCAAGTGGTTTACTGCTTACTGATGAGTTGAATTTGACTTCGAACACTTCAGCTCAGCCAAATGGAACCCTTGAATGGAACAGAGGAGGAAGCCCCAATATTTGGGAGTTTTTCCACGTTGGTAGAGTGGCTGATAGAAGGATAACATTACTCTCATACCACGGTAAATACGTGTCAGCTCAACCTGATGGGAGGATTGAAGTTAACAGAAATAAAGCTCAAGCGTGGGAAATATTCAGGCTGGAAGAAGGTAAAGTTCCTGTTAAACGACGCAACAGTGATACCGACTACGCAACATCATTAGCCAGTCTAGGTGGAGTCGGACTGAAGGGGCACCATGGTTTTTATGTTAGTGCGAATGCGACATGTCAAGTGAAGTCGTTTGGTAGCTCAGAGATTATCAGTGTGATTAAAGTTGGACACAATGTGGTCGCTTTCAGGTCTCGTTTTGGAAAATACCTCTCCGGTTAGCAAACACATTTTTCGTTACATTCTATATTTTTACACATTTTCACATAAAAAATGGAATATGTTCATATTCTATTTTGATGAACAGATTGTTGATTAAATTGTACACGATATTGTGTTCATATTACAATATTCGAGTTATGTACTGCCCAAAAATGTTTTCACATTGTTAATAATTGGGTATTATGCCTCTTGAAATACCAAGAAATACCGCTATTAAAATTATAAAACTCTCCTCCACTCTTCAGCCCAACCTAATGGAACACTACAATGGAACCGAGATAGGGTTCAGATCTGGGAGCAGTTCACACTTGCACGCTGTGATTGTGTCGAGGAAAAGTTCACGTTCCGATCCCACCACAACAAATATATGTCAGCTTCGCCTGATGGAGAGTTAGAAGTGGATAAGTTGTCCGCTTCAAGCTGGGAACAGTTTACTGTCGTTAATGCTTAATAACTGTTACTGTCACCAAGATGTAACTAGGTCGAACGGAAAAATTAGGTCTCACGCAGGAATTAGGTGTCTAGCAGGAGCTTGTATTTATATATATATCACGCGCCTGCGTGAGACCTAATAGTAATTCCTGCGTGAGACCTAATTTCTCCGTTCGACCTAGTTACATCTTGGTGACAGTAAGCTTTGAGATTTTTAACTAATAAAGCACTCGTGGTTTCGAAAAAACTTCGTTCAGTTCAGGTCTTTGTTTGATGTCCTTTTCAAATCTCGCTAGATTTATATTGTTTTCATAGTCGTATATACTTATATAGTACTACTACTAGTAGACTGTAAGTGTAAGAGTAAATGCGATTTACAATCTGATCATGATTGACGCAGTGAGACGTCAGCCACTGGTCATAATATTTTAGCTTAATGATTTGATTGGGAATCGAGCGGTTTACTCGATTAATGTTTACTCAAAATTATAATACAAACAGTAATAGATAGAACATAGTAATGTTAAAGAATTCTTTTTAAAAAAACCTTCTGGAAAGGGCACTGCACCTGTTATATTATTATTAATCATAATGATATTGATTTTATTGTAATAAATTATAGCAATGCTATTTGTCAACACTGCAAAATTACAGACATTGTAGATTACTTTGGAGATTACTTTAGAGATTACTTTAGAGATTACTTTTAGATTACTTATAGAGCTAGGAAAACCCGATGTTATTTTCGATGTTCGACTCCTATCATGATTATAAGTGATAAGAACCATTTGATGTTTTGAAGATAGTTAATTTGTTTACTGTCGTAAGTCAAAGTGGTTGCGAGAAGCATTATTTGATGCGCGGCCTATAGTACTTATAGTACTACATACTAGTAGTGCATCGCGCTAGATAACAAGTTAAGTTTTACCTGGGGACCCCAGGCTATTATGTTCATAAACAATAGTAAAGATTCGGCGGAATGACAGACTGAGCGCCGCCCAGTAAGTTAAGTTATACCTTATATCTTTATATTATATTACCTTTTTTCTGCGCGGAGTTCACACTGCACTTTGCATGCACGATAAGAGCAAAGAGGTTCACAACGTGTAGCATGAAGAAAATTTGGAGAGCAGTCTTACCCAGAAACCCTTACTGGATGGGGCCTAACTTTGAAAGAAAAAGAGTTATAGACTTCCGGTTTTTGTAACATGTTTGTCTGGTAAAAGTTTAAGTAACGTTACCTCCCCAAGAGGAAAATTTAAAACAACGTAGTTGTTGAGTTATCTCAAAATCTCCAGAAAAGTCCCATTTTGGACCGATTATAAGTTTGCAACTTTATCTTTGCGGATTCCTGTACTCTGATTGGCTGAATCACGTGCTATAACTATAAGCTGCTTCAACATTGGAATGCGCCACGCGTGCAAATCACGCTAATTAATCTTAATGTCGCGCGCGAGGTCAAGCCGTCTGTCTAAATTAAACCAATGCAATTACTCTAGTACCACCACCAGCCAGTTACTTTTGCTGGGCAAGGTACTTATACTATTAATAATTAAATTGTGCCCTAAATCGGGAAAAATAGACAACTGTGACGCTAATTAATTGGTATGTGGTATATCTAATGGCTCTGCATAGTTATTAGTTTTGCATTACCTGGGGACCTCAGGGCCAGGCTATTATCTTATTATGTTCATAAACATAGAGATTCGGCGGAATGATGCACTGACAGGCTGAGCGCGGCCCTGTAAAGTTTTACAACTTCGATCGGAATCGAGTTATGTCGAAATGATACGTTATTAATGATATTTCAGTAGGTGAAGTTTTTAACAATTCTGAGAATAAACTATGAGTGACAGTCTTCAGTCTTAAAGTATTCTTAAAGTTTTGCTATAACACCTCTCCGGTCTTTCTGCCAGTTAAAGTGAAATACATATCAGTACGAGGTCTTATAGTTATAATGTGCGAGGTCGAGGAATCGAATCACAACACAATTACATGACCGGGTGAAGAGGAGTATTGTTATTGATAACATATTTTTATCATTACTGAAATGGTATGGTGTACGAGGTCGAGGGTACTTTACTCACTAGCCAGGGTGATATTAGGAAGCGAATTACAGAGTTTATTTTTACTTTAATTCGCGTATGATCGATTACTGCGTGCAAATTAATACAGGCATGGAGCTTTCCTAGCACTGCTGCCTGTTTCATTACCTCCCCTGAGTAATATGAACTATAACAACGTCGGACAATGTCCTTGGCAACACGATTTACCGTAATATATTTAGAGGCTGGAACAAGTTTGTAATGTTGGCGGGGACTAGCTCGTGAACTATGTTGTTGAGTGCCATAATTTCGTTGACTTTTTCCGCAAATTGCCCCTTGAAAATATCATATACTAGTAGTTTTCAATTTCTGTGCCTCCGGCAGACCAAGGAGAACCTTGCCGTCGCTAACTTACGGCACAATAAAGTTCTCATAGTTGTAATATTCTGGACAAAAGGTTAGAATTTTTTGAAAAAAATTCAACGGACTTTAACTTGGATGGATCTTAAATGAACGGACTTTATTTGAACGGACATTAAGATGAACGTTAAGGCCTCCAGCTTTCAATTAATGTCCGTCCAAATAAGGTCCGATAAGGTATGAGACCGCGGTAATCACTAATCCTTCTATTTTGATTCATGACTTAATAGAATAGACGGAAAACTTATCAGATAATTTACGGAAATATTTTAATATCTGACCTCTGGGGGTTGAATAATATTTGCAAAACTCTTTCCTGCAGAATGGCGAATGCAGATTGCAAATTTAATTTTACAGGAAAGAACCATTCCAACTGCTCTCTACTTAATATATATATATAATATAATAAAATCAGCGTACTATAAAGCATAAGTTTCCTGGTCATTAAATTAATGATTAATCCATATTTGTTTGATGAATTGATTCTACTTTTTTTCGTAATCTAATGATCACCTGATGTTTAAATATTAGTCCTTACCCGGGGTCGTTCACATTACGTAATTTGCCCAGGGGGGGGGGTTTCCAAATGATTACGCTAGTTTAATTTTGACACAATAGCTATGTGTAAAACTGATTACGGAGGGGGAGGGGGTTAAAAATTGGCCAAAATTGATTACGTAATATGTAAACGACCCCTATAATAAATCTGGTCGCAAAACTTAGCCGTGGAACTGGGCTGTTAAGAGCGAAAAAAGATTACTAAAAGTATTAAGTGTTATCAATGTGCATCATCCAAACAGCCATCCAAACAGCCATAATATAATAATATAACTTAAATTGGAGTCCTCGATTACTCGTAAAATATCTATTCCATATTATATCTGTTCCATATATTGGGACCATCGACGAGTCCAACTCGGCGCGCGTCCTGGTAGGTTGTAAACCTACAATAATAAACACATACCTTTGCTGTGACTCAAGGCAAATCACATACGACCGTCGACCTTTTGATTGTGGAATTCGATTAAAAGTTCCTTTGAGATCCTTCGCCTCTCAATACTCCTTCCGCGGAACAAGTGGAGAGCAGTTGGAATTTGTATTACCTCATACCTGGACAATTAGATGAGGATCACGCGTTCCACGGAACGTACCTATTTAAAAAACTAGCTACGTTGCAGGGTACGATAAATTTAGAATAACTGACTCTGAGTATATGGCTCGATCCTCTCTAGCGGGCCATATTGCATGTTTCAAGTAATGCTTTAAAGTTTAAATTCTTTCTGTTTATAAATTTGACCAAAACCCATAATCATGGGTACTGGAGTGGTAGAGTGGACCGCTGCCAGTGTCTCTCTTTCCCAAACAAAAGGAAATGATATTGATATTAATTTGAATAACCGTCCGCAAATGCAAAATGATACCGGGAATGAAATCGGTTGCTCGCTTTTCCCATTCATTCACGACTTACAAATTGTAATAAGTTTCAATTAATTAACCAGAAAACCTTACCGCCTGCCGGGCTTGCTACTGCTAGAGGTCAACAGCAGTTTGTCCTCTCGCGTGACGTAAAGTTTGCTTTTCGCACGCTTGATTGAGCCTAGTAGCCATGACGACCACATTAATTTGCAAAGTTAAAAAGCTGTGATCTTTTATTTGGCCAACAATCAAACTTTTCAGTTTAATTCAGAATCTAGGTTGTCCCAAATTTTGCTCCTGGTGAGCTAACTTTAGATTTACGATACGAACATTTTGTTAAAAACTGGAATGTTCTATCTATTTTACTTTTGGGGATATACCCCAGCTTACCTGAGGACCCCAGGCTGTTATTAAAGATTTGGCGGAATGACAGGCTGAGCGCGGCCCAGTAAACCCCAGCCGGTAGGGTTTGCTGGGTATATCAATCACATGCTGCTTACGCGTCGATACCTATAAAAAAAAGTACTTTTTTATAGTATTCCGGGATAAGGTTGGTAGTAAGTGTCCAATTAGCTAATGTTTATAGAATATTTATTACCGAGTACAGCTGCCCCTATTACAATTGACACCACCACACTATTACAATTGGCCATGTTCTTATTTCTTTATACTGTCTGACTGATGATAAGGCCATAAAAGCATTTGGCACAGTTTCCATTGTATATCTCTCACAGTTTTTACGGAAAGTCGTGTTAAAGTTAATACCGTGGTGCCCTCAAATCTGATCCCAACCCTAACCCTAACCCAAACCCTAACAAAATCATTTGCTGAAACACTAACCATAACCTTAACGAGAAATTATACCAACTTCCTTAAAATTATATCATGGTCATATCGCGTGAATATCAAGACATTTTGTTCGCCAATATCTCGCCAGGGAGCATTTTAACCCTATGTCATGGGGGTGATTCGGAATCAACGTCCAAAAATACAGCGATTCGAGTTAATTTCAACTGTCGGGGTAGGGCCTGTCGTGATATCATGGATCGCTTAGGCTAGGTTCCACCAGGATCTGTTACTGTTAGTCCTCGTAATTCTGCGGCCTATATGTACCGTCATCTCGCACAACTCTTTAAGAATCTTGTGAATTTGGCATGTGAAAATTTGCAGCCTTTCGGACATTGATTGGGTCAACGAGGTGTCGTACGTCACCTCAAGATATGGGGCTGACCATGCCAGAACCCAATTGATTGGGTATAAGGTCACGTGATTATGAACCTGAGGAGTGAGGTCACGTGGCTGTGACGTCACCAGAGCTTGCTCTCCGAACTCGAGCTACTCGATCAGGCCTTATATGAAATAATATAGTGTATAATGTATCGCGTGTAATCATGGATCCAATTATAGGAGCTGCGCAATTATTGCTGCATATTGATCAGGTATCACCTTCTGAAACCCATCAGGCAACTGGGCCAGAGATTTGAAAATAGAAGGATTATTTGTTGATGAATATCGAAGCGAACATCATGTAACCCTATGTTTTCGAGGACGTTAAACACGATAAAACTGGTTATAATTATCATACTCGAGGGAAAATTGCTTTATTATAACTTATAAGCTAAGCAGCTTATCTGGTGGCACCAGTCTCTCTGCCGAATCTCAGAAATAGTAAACAACGACGCCACTTGTTCTCAGCTAATAATTGGGCTTATGAAGGAAAGATCTCAAGTTCAGAAGACGAAAGAAATTTATCCAAATATTTGCTTAAGATTAACGAATACGGATTTCTACCAATATCGAAAAGGACTACCAAGGATTGTATCGGGACTTCTATATCGGTATTTCAAGTCTTCGTAGCGGTTTGTTGTAGCCTACGCTCCGACTGACGGTGCTGATGACTGTGAGAAAGATCTTTTTTACAACATT